GAAAATAGAAAAAAACAGAGTAAACATTATTTCAACAAGAAAAAAAATCCCTGTACTTTGCAAGATATTATTAATGCTAACTGCCAGCATTACTGCAGAGGGACAACCAAAACTTGTGTTCCGGCTGTAGTACAAAAATATTACATATACAAGATATTTGCATGCTTTTTTAACTTTATAATATTTTACCACATTCAACAAAAACACAATTTATACATTTATAAAGCATTTGTTGCCTATTTGCAATCCAGTATGTTAAAAGTGTTTACTCTTTACACTATTATGATTTTCCCTATTAAGTTCATCTTAAAATCAACTTCTCTTGAACACTTAAATAAGATTTTTTCCCCTATCACAATAAGTCATTTTGATCAATGTTAATAAATGTTTTGGTATATATAAAAATAAAAAAACATATTCTCCACACTGTAAAAGCATGCCCGTGATTACCATGTGTAGGACACACATAAAGCATGGGTCCAGGTTTGTGTAAAATTTTTACAAATGTGTACCAAGTTTTCTCGGTTATGCATTTTTTCTGCTAATTCTTTATATTACTTTGATGCCCCATAACAGTCACTTCCTTCTCCTGTAATTACAGGTCTTAACGTTAATAAGATGTTTGGTATTCATCACATTTGTCATCTTCAGGCATTTCTGAGATTCAGTTAACATACCATACACTTCAGTTTATCAGTTTTTTTTTATTCAAATTTGTGAAGATCATGCAAAACATTTAAAAATGCTACTGATCGAAACATTGTAAAAAAATTAATAAAAAAGCAATAACATGGAGAAGTTTCAAGAACAAATCCCTCTCATTGTACAGATCCTTTCAGTTGGGATATACTATAGACACATAAATACCAGTCAACAAAGTTCTTAAGCTCAACTTCATTTACATCTGGTTAATAATAACATCTACGAGAGATTTCAATCTGGTTTTCGCTCATGTCACAGTACCGAAACTGCTCTACTTAAAGTCACTAACGATCTCTTAATCGGAGCTGACTCTGGTCTTCTCACCATTCTCGTCCTTTTAGATCTGAGCTCAGCCTTTGACACCATTTCTCACTCTGTCCTTCTAAGCAGACTTTCCTCTCTCGGCATCTCTGACACACCCCTCGCCTGGTTTCAATCATATCTCCTCGACCGTTCCCAGTTTATTCAACTAAGATCATTCCGCTCTCGTCTATTCCCCGTCACCTCTGGTGTACCCCAAGGCTCAGTTTTAGGCCCTCTTCTCTTTATAATATACATCCTCCCTCTAGGTACCATCTTCCGCAAATTTGATCTTCAGTTTCACTGTTTTGCTGATGACACCCAGTTATATCTCTCTTGCAAACCTGATTCCTCCCTCCCACCTTCTTCCCTTACAGAATGTCTATCCGAGTTAAAATCCTGGTTTACCTCTAATTTTCTAAAGCTCAATGAGGATAAAACTGAGATCCTCCTTATTGGCACCAAATCCAACCTTTTGAAGGCAAACCATTTCTCACTCACCATCGATAACTCCACAGTTCTCCCTTCTCCTCAGGTTAAGAGCCTTGGTGTCATCCTAGACAGTTCACTTTCCTATAAATCTCACATCAATAATCTCACCCGTTCTGCCTACTTCCATCTACGTAACATTAACAGATTGCTTCCTTCTCTTTCCACCCAGTCTACGTCCATTCTTGTCATAGTCTTTTATTTTTTTTTTTTTTTTTTTTTTTTAAATGACATCAGAAACAGCAGTATGCGACATTACGTGATGGCAGAGCTTCAGTTCATCCTTTGTCATTTTTTTTTTTTTAATAAATAGGACAGGGGGAATGAATGAGAGAAAGAGGGGGAGAGAAAGAAAGAAAACCAAAGGGGAGAAGAGACGGTGAGAAGGGGGGGGAAAAGAAAAAAAAAAACAACTCCTGGGTCACCTGTATGGAGAAAAAAAAACAAACAAAAAAAACAAACAGAGGAGACAGCAAACAACAAAGAGCAACATAATAATAGAGAAAACAAAGCACCATCACAATAAACTAGCTAGTCATAGATATCAATAGTTACTAAATAATAAACGATATTGTGCAGCACGCAAGATAGACAGCGCACAGTGTGCTTTGAGGCAGCAGCCAAGAAAGCTTTAGTCCGCGTCTGTGAATACCCATGTGTACACCTGTGTGCATACCTGTGTGGATCAGCATGCTTGCATTCCAAAGGTTTCTCCATGTAATGATCTGCTAGGGAGTGTGGGGGGGCCACAGCCCCGTCCTCCAGGGTGTGAAGCGGGTATGGAGGAGATCAAAACTCCAGACATCCAGAGGCCCCCAGAACACAAGAGACCATGGAAGACCAACAGAGGGGCAGCCGCGCCACTGTTCCAGTAAGAGCTGAGGAGAGTCCCAGATGAGGGCTCGCCCAGCAGCCGCGGAGCAGAAGCCAGGGGGAGTTGCAGTGACGCGCCCGTGAGCTCCGCCGGCCCCCAGCTGTGCCTGAGTGACCGAGCCCCAGGCCGAGAGGCCGGGGGCACCCCACCTCCAAAGGGGGCCCGAGCGAGCCCCAGGCCCCAGGCCCCGACAAGCGGCCGCCAAGGAGTGAGCCGGTGTGTACCCGGACGCCCACCCCCAGACACAAAGAACCACCAGCACACCGACACCTGAGGGAGTCCGCCACCGGCAGGGGAAGTGGTGGTGGGTGGAGATAGGCCTCCAAACCTTGGAGGGCCTGAGGTGTCCCCAGAGAGGTGGCGTCTGATACCCAACCTGACATATAGACACAGACATACAGGCACACACAGACACAAACATCCATTCCCACCCTCATGCTCTCATATGCACTCACTCCACACTCAACCAACGTGGAGACAGACATAAAGAGACGCTGTACACACAATCACACTCCCCAAGCGTACTCTACAAACCGGGTCTAGGTACCCTTGCCCCTGGAGGGGGGAATTGCACCCAGACCCAGGTGGTGTTACCCTTTTCCCTGCGGTGGGGAGAGGCAGACCACCCCGACTCCGCAGCAGCAGGGAGGCCCCACACCCCAGACCGCAGCCGGACGGCCAACTCCTCCTACTAGCCCTCCCGCTCCAGCAGGCCGCAGAGAATGGGGGTGATGTGATAAGGAAGATGTTTCATCTTCCTTAAATTTATTAAGGAAGATGAAACATCTAAGATAGGAACTTGAATAGAAGCTGAGGCCAGCATACCATTGTTATTCAGTTATATTCCATTTTTTCAAATCCAAAATGAAGATAGTAGTGATTGTGTCTGAGAAGAATCCCCCACAATAACGGCATGGATTGAGCTAATATTCGCAGCATTCATGCTTTCCTCAGCTGTACTTTGTATGTAAAGTTAATTAGCAAATGTAGCCATGTTAGCCTAGCCAAGATGGGAAATATAGCAAGCATACACCTTCTTAGTATTAGCAATTTAGCATATCATTCTTATCATTTAACTTAAAGCACTCATTATTTTTCATATATAACTACATAATATTCTGAAATTAGCAGTTATGAATAATCTGATCAGCAAGAAAAGCTGTCCCTTTCATTTGCATGATCAGCTCTTTGTAATCCTTGTTTTTGTATTGTTGTTAATTCTAAATGCTGCTAACAGGGAGTTTTTTGTGTACCTTTTTTGTTTGTTTTCACAAAATGAATCTAATGTAAATAAAAGTCAAAAGGCTGACAAATTATTGGTTATGTTTTTTTTTCACAGTTTTAGTGACAGTCGGTTTTACTGTTCACCTTCTGCTTATTTCCAGATTTTAAAAAGTAGTCTGTGGTTCTATTGCTTTAATCACTTAAATGAAACTGTTTATGATGCCAAGATGTCAAAAGATTTCAACTCCCCGATTCTTTTTTTTGAATCTTTCATAAATAATTAGTTTTCAAAGCTTAATGGCGAGGAACAGCAAGATAATGAAGCTAGACACATAGTCAAAGAAACTTTTCTACAAAATGTCATAATTGTATCTGTATGGGTTATTACTCACGTCACCTTTTTTGTGACGTTAAAAAAAAAAGCATATTTGTACTGCGTTTGAGAGGTACAGCCAGTAAAAGAAACACCGGCTCTACTACTCCGTTCTACAGCCTGAGCCTTACATTTTTAATCAAGTCACTCATCTCTCTTTCAATACATAACATCTTTGATGATGAGATGCGCTTTGATGGCAAGCGAATTTCATTTGTGTCTAAAAGCTCCAAAGTATTCGGTTCAAGATGATCGCCACATTTGTGACTTCTAGGCGATTACTGTAATGATGCTAAATGGTAAACATTGGCCCAACATCTAAATAATTTAACAGACTGAAAACACGCTGCTCCAATGTTTATTAAATTCATTTTGTGTTTACAGAGTGATCATACTGAAATGTTCCATGGCATTGAGCTAGCATGAGAGGTCACGTTTGAATGGACTAATTGTATGAAATTTAACATAGCTTGTCTAGATTACATGATTACCTCAGTCAGACAATAGAGCCAACCCTTTTAAAGTCTTTGCTGGTGCACATGAACTAAAAGTACTACATCTGCAAAGTATTTAGACAATCAAATGCAATATTATTTGCCTATTCTTGGGCATTTGGCTATTTCTTAGCTTGTATGGAGCTCAATAAAATAATTGTGCATAAGGCCAGGGGACATTTTGCAACCATGTTTACTGTGTGTTCAATTTTAATGTTAAAACAGGTTGGTTATCAAAAGTTGTGCTTAAACTGGCTGCAAGCAGAGCTAAATTTGGCATATGCTGGGCTTAATTTGGACAGAAACGTCACATATAAAAAATGTTTTAAAAGTTTTCTTACAGTAAATCTTATTCAAGCATTATTTGATCAATCTAAATTTGATATTTAAAAACGTGCCTTTGGTTTATTGACGTGTGTTTAACAAATGCATACTGCAGAGCAGGAGCTACCTGTGGTTAATATGTAAACTACAGCAGAAGGGATGAAGATGCCCACAGGAACATTGGACCCTGATAAAGTGCTGAATAACTGGACACGTAAGTAGACAGCTTCAGTGACTGGCAAATACCAGTGACTGCTCTTGACTCGATAGTTTTACATCATAATCATCAAGAAATTTGCGTGGACATCAATTTCTTTTTCTTTTTACTTTCTTTTGCTTTTTCATCCTTTTTTTCTTTTTCTTTTTGATGGTTTAGATTTAACTTTGACTCTGCTAACACTCTCTAACACTGTCTAAAACTGGCCCAAGTCTAGACACAAACTCATATTTACTACTTTAATCTTTATCGGTTTTCAAAGTATAATCAGTTTGCATTGGCGAAAATGGACAGTGGACTTGTTGGTGCTGGAAAACAGCTTCTCCATGTGGACATCTATATTGATGAACACCAACCTTCTAGAGGAATCCTGGCTCTTTTGAGCAGACTTCGTCCCAACTGGAAGGCACAAGACATTCAAATGAAGGCAAGTGAATGCTTGGATCTCTAAATGTATGGATTACCAAAGACTGACTATTATTTGTAAGAAAGCATGAAATTCACACATTTTCATTTGTATTTCTAATCTTACTCTCATGAACTTTCAAATGTAACATGCTGACTGGGGCTTACAGCATCTGAGATGTAGCTTTTGTTTTTTGTAAAGTTTCAGGGCGTTGCATGGTCTGACCTTGGGATGAATTGACTGGGAAATCCACTCTTGGGAAGATTGTGGCATTGCATTAACATACAGTGGAACCCCGACTTACGAAATTAATTCATTCCCGAGGGTCTTTCGTAAGTCGAAAATTTTCGTAAGTCGAAGCACCCATCGTGCGTTTTGACTGAGGCGATGCTGAACGATAGGCTATAGGCTAATTGGTAACTAGAACAACAATACGTCATTCAAGTGGAACAGCGAAGCCCAAGTACGGAAGCCAAGGGGTTGTCACATGATTCAAAAGGCATTGTGGGCATTGTAGGTTCAGCCAATCAGAGCCAGCGGATTCCGTTACTCTGGCATTTTGCCGTAACACGGGCAAAAATATTGCCGTTCAGTGCCTTCGTAACTTGAATTTTTCGTGAAACGGGGTATTCGTAAGTCGGGGTTCCACTGTACTTCTAAATACACCAGACCAGCAAAATGAAAACATATCAGTTTTTATAGTAGTTTAATAGCCCTGGGAAAGCTTTTGAATTTCACATGACTGTTTAACCTGTATTCACGTGTTAAAGTGAATGCATAAACTATGATTTATATCTAAATTTATTGCCTGTATATGGCAAAACTTGACACATCTTATAAGAATAGGGAGCAAGTGGAAGAGAACCTGGAGCAGTGCTGGTATGAAAGTGAGTAGACGCAAGACAGAATACATGTGTGTGAATAAGATGGAGTCAAGTGGGAAGGTGAAGCTGCAAAGAGCACGGATATTGAAGGTAGATGAGTTTAAATATTTGGGGTCAATCCCCCCCAAAGCAACAGACAGTGAGGTAGAGAAGAGAGTAAAGGCAAGAGGGGGTGGGTGGAGACAAGTGTCAGGGTTTTTTTGTGAAAGAAGGATAGCAGCAAGAGTGAAAAGGTAGATTTACAAGACAGTAGTGAGGCCTTCTCTGATGTATGACAGAAAGACAGGAGGCAGAGGTGGAGGTGGTAGAATTGAAGATCCAAAGATTTTCATCCCATTCGGGAGTGACCTGATCGGACAGGATTAGAAAATACACAGCCCAAAGACATACATGTTGGGTTAATTGGAGATTCTAAATTGGCCACCGGTGTTAATATCAGTGTCTGTCTCTTTGTCTTAACTGTTTGATGAAATGGCATGTACCCTGTCCTTCACCCTACAACAGCTGAGATCGACTTCTGAAACCCCATGGCCCAAAACTGAACAGGTTAAGAAAATGGATGGATGAATGAAAAAAAAATAAAGACTGCAGTATAAATGCAGTATCAAAATTAAATTCACACATAGTGATAAAGTTTTGTCGTGTTTTGGTTGGGCTCCATATTCCACTGTACTGTAAACTGTAGAAAGACACATTTCACACATCAAAATGGAAAAAAAAAACCCAAGGTAACTAGACAACAAAAGTAGACTGTTAGGAAATTTCTTTTTGTAGGGCTGTCAGAGGGTCTATTCACAACAGGATAATCCCATTCTGGTCCCATGTGCAAACACAAGGTCCAATATTTCAGAGAAATAGGGTTTATGTTTGTTAGGTGACCCAACATTGGATGGATGACCTCTCAATCCTCACCAGGTCCAGTAATGTACACAAGAGTAGATGTTTCTCTTCAGCTCTCGCACTGCAGCGGCTCCTTTAATGGTGTATTGTGTTCAGCAAGGAATGGATAGACAACTTCTGCTGTTACACTGAGCTTTAACCCAGTTTACATAGCATTCCTTTCAAATGACTGTCATTGTTTTGGGTTTTATTGATGATTCCGTGATTCTGTGATTTCATTATTTCTATTTTATAACAAACTAACAGAACAAGATAAAGGCTGATAAATACACATTGAATGATTTACATAAGATTTTTTGTAGACAGTGTGATTAAAATCTGTTTCAAAGATGGAACAAGAGAACATTTGTAGAATTTTAAAGGCATCCCTTTAAAATTCTACAAATGTTCCAACAAACAAACATGTTAAAGCAAACGCAAATTTCATGTCAAAAAGAAGTGCAGATCAAAGCATGCATATTTATCTTGTGTGTTTTTAATACATTTTGGGGGATTTCAAATGACAATTAATAAATTGTGAAAATTCAGCACAAAAAGAAAATGTAAGATACAGAGGCAGAAAGAATTTAATGAAACCAGCCCTGCATCCATATAAATACTGGGTCAGATGTCAAGGTGGGCATGTTTGTTCATTTTCCATTTAGATGAAAAAATGTGTGTGCAGGTCCCATCTGATGCTCAGAAAGTGCCTTGGGGACTTTAACAGAAATTGAGAGACTGAGAAACCACAGAATGACAACAAATGTCAGAAAAAGTCGTTGCAGACAGTGGTCTCTGTGGTGTTGTTGTGTACACATACTGAGGAATAGAATCTATTCCAGAAGTGGGATTTTCAATGTCACCATACTTTCTACAGCTGTGTCTGTAACTATGTATTCATCTACCTGTTGTTGCATTGACTCTACACAACAAAGATGTATGCATACCAGTTTAATTTCAAAATGATTTCATATTTGTTTTTCCCATAAAGTACATTAAAAGGAGTGCCAAATCTTCCCATATCAAATGCATATGATATGGATATGATATTTTTTACATTGGATAAAATGGTAACCAGTATTCCACATTAATATGGGTGTATTTTTCAGGATGTATAAAGGCGATCACCCAAATCTTGAACTTTAATATATGCTATAAACAGAAACTGGAAAATACACAATACACAATAATGCAAAAACATAAAAACAGACAGGCAGCATATGAAGAACAGACACAAGGCTCATATCTAAATTAAAACCATAGCTGATGCTACAACAAAGACTGAGGGGAAGAAATGATTAGTTATACACATTAGGATTAGGAAATGGGGAACAGGATTGGTAACAAGACACAGGTGCAATCAATCACACACAAGTGAAGCTTGTCAATAAAATCAGGGGGGAAACAGGAAGCAAAACTAACCTAGGACACAAAAGAAATCAAACCTTCAAAGTAAAGACAGAAAGTAAAGTAAAGCAAAATCACAAATCAGAACACAACACAGAAACTTTGTACTGGGAAAATCCAAACACACTTTAGAATCACCATTTCACCTAACCCCACTAACTTCAAGTCTTTGGACTGTGGGAGGAAGCTTGAATGAACCCAGACAAACTCGGGGAGGATTTCCAAACTCCAGATCTCAAGGTACTGAGTTCAAATCCACCATCTGGCCAGATGAACTCAGGACCTTATTGCTGTGAGGCAATAGGGATAATCACCATACCACAGTGCTGGCCATTTCTGGTATCATGTAGAATAGAAATCAAAGTCTCATTAAGACTCAGTATATAATAATAATAATAATAATAATAACAATAATAATAATAATAATAATAATTCAAAACTCAACCTGTCAGATAACAATCAAAACTCTTGGGAAAACAAAGGACTTAACTCAAACATTTAAAAAACTCACATGAATTAAAAAAAAAACCCAGGACCATGACAATATCTGTAATACAGTAAATATATACATTTCTCAAATTTCTGTTAAATTACACGTGCTTCAAACAATATACAGTACATGTGCCATGTTCACTGTATAGACAAAATAGCAAAGACCAACCAATAAACCTGTAGTTGATCAGCAAGATTTTATGAATCTTTATGATATTTTCTAAGATACTCTTCTACTCAAAGATAAGAGCAAGCTGAAACAAAAAACTAAACAGAAACTGAAAACTTTGACACAGCGTCCTTTTACAGTAGATACTCATGATACAGATTAATTCAGAACCCAGCATGAATTATATTTCAAATAAGCATCTGAAAAATGACCCATAAAAGACTTCTGCAAAATTATTCTTTGACTTATATGTCTCATCTAGCTGCTACCTGTTGGTTGTCTAAACTTGTATTCTATGATAAAATTATTTTAACAAAAAGCTGTTACTTAAGTAACCTATTTGAAAATGCAAGTATTCATGTGGCAACACGCTAACGTCGCAGGGGATGTCTACATGCATTCTAAATTTTGTATTACACAGGTATTTTCTCTAGTTTCTTTTTGAGTGTACTGATGTGAATTTGCTCTGTTTCTGTGGTTTTATTTTTCCTTTTTCTCCAATAATGTGCATTTAATGGAAGGTTAGTGAAATTTTTAAATGAGCTATAACAGTGGTAAATTAGTGGCCTGTAAATCGATATGGTACTGAAAATGTAATCCAGAATCCTGAAACCAAACTGGGGTCTGTGAGTTGCCTGCTATTTACCTGCCTGCTGTAATTAATGTAGAATAGTATGATTTTCCAAGATTGTTATAAATGTTTTAAGGAAAGTAACCAATTAAAGTTATAGTTACAGAATAATTATATGACTGCCTGCTTTATTGACAGATGGTAGTGAAATGTTATTATCTTTTTTTTTACAGTAGGATTTTTTGTGCGGGTATAATTATGATAACCAGCATCCTGAGTTTTATGGGCTCTTTTGACAATACAGAATGCTAAAATATGGTATAGCAAAATGTTTCATTTGCTGTATACTATCTGTCCAAAACTGCATTTTTCATGCTCATGGCCCTTTGGATTTCCTTTCATTCCAGACATTTACAGAAGGCATCACTAACCAGCTTATTGGCTGCTACGTGGGCTCTCTCCTGGAGCCTGGTTGTGTCTTGGTGCGACTATATGGCAAAATGACAGAGCTCTACGTGAACAGGGACCATGAGGTGGAGATGTTTCAGATCCTCCACGCACACAGATGTGGTCCTGAAATTTACTGCAGCTTCCAGAATGGCATCTGCTACGAGTTTGTAAGAGGAACTGTGCTGGATGATAAACTGCTTCGGCAGCCGTCTATCTACAGGTCTCTGCAATAACAGCGTTCACATTTCACAACCACACACACATATAGATAAACATCATCTAATTAAATTTATATAATTGTGAGAATTTCTTTGCTATTTTAATGTATGTGAATACATTAATAATCTGGAGCCTGATTTGTATAACATTAAGCACAAGTGGAGTCTATTATCAGTGAATGCTATGTCCAGATGAACAGAATCAACTTTTTTTTGATTTACTTACCTGGATGATTAAACATGCATCAAGACAACATTTAGCACAAAAAACAAAAAGAAAACAAAAACACATTTCTGGGCAGGACTTGTAGAGTGATAAATAGAGATATCCAAAATCTCCTAAATTAAATGTAGTATGCACATTTTTTTTTTTTACATTATTTTATGCAACTTTTCTTTCTGAGAAAGTGAATATTTATTGATAGGACATCATTTGCACATCATATCATAAATTTCAGAAAACTTGTAACTCAATTTCTTTTTTATTTTTAATTGAAATTCATTTGAAGTCATCATTGTACATCATCATCATTTTCAGAGTTCAGGTGTGTACATGCAAACCAAACAGTTCATTTAATTTGTGCCAATGTGGGAGTTTCTTATTAGCAATTTGAGTCATGTTTCATGTTGAGCAATGATGTTTGTCCATGCCCCCATTACATTCATCATTCCCATGATAACAACCTGTCATCATTATTCACAACTCGGGACAGTAGAACTCAACATACCCAGCCAAGGTTTCACATCCAGGGCCACAATAGACATCAATCAACTTGCTCTGCCTGATACCCTGTGTGGGGGATACCCAGAAAACTTTATGTCACCATTAAGATGCCTTGAGAATGAGCGCTCAAATGGTCAAAAGGTCATAACCACAACAAGGTCCATTTTTTGAAAAGAAGAACAAGATAAGAGCACTAAATGTAGAGGGAGTTGTGTTTCTGCTCTGATAATGATTGTTTGTGCAATAACAGCGTCAGCCAGGCTCATCTGAGAAAATGTTTTCTCTCTGCAGATTGATCGCCGCAGAGATGGGGAAAATCCATTCGATCCAGCCAAAATCCGGTCGGCCAGTCAAACCTGTGCTGTGGACAAAAATGTCTCATTTCCTCAAACTAGTGCAGAGCAGTGTCAGCAGCAGTCCAGCTGGGCAGTGGTACATAGGCAGGTACAAGTCATGATAGCCACAGAGCACAATACAATATATAATGCATAATATTTACAATACATCCACTTGTGATTGACCCATTAAGCAGCTGCACTGGACAAAGACAGGAAGATTTACACTATGCAATAACATATGGGCGGTAGCTTTGCTAGAAAAAACACGAACTACACTTTTTGTTTTGCCAAAGAAATATGCTTGGAGAACTGCTTGGCTGTTGATCACCTGGTGGGGTCATTCAAAGTATTGGTGTGTTGCTAGATCAGATCTCACAGATAAGCTCAAGCAGTCCTTTGGCATCAGGTGACAGCAGGTATCATTCCCGTATGGACATTATTAATATATCCTAGTAATAATCGATTAACCGGCACATTATTATGGGACACTCTCTCACTCACTGACATGGGGAGCTACACATTAATACTACCTATCATGCAGCAGCTGCACAACACATCAAAGGTAAACACGTAAAACACGTACTGTAACAGCAGCAGTCATTTTCAGTGCCAGCAGCACCTCTGAACAGGAACAGATGCACACAACTACTCGAGGTCACCAAAATGTCATTAACAGTTATTAGTTAGGCTAAGAAATGCAGCATGGCATGATGTGTCCAGCACTAAATGGACCGTTGATATGCAATTCTATATTTCTTGTAAAAAATCAAGAGAGGTGTAAATCAGAGATGACTTGGTTAGTTTAATTAGTTGCTTATGTGACATCCACTATTACAACAATATCTTACGGTGATTAATCTACTGCTGTAATCATAATAATAAACTGTATAAAGTACAAGGGCTGAGAGCTTGACAGCTGTAACAACAGTAACTATGGGGGTGGGGCTTAGTGATTAGTCAGTCATCCTGTCAGGAAGGTTTCAGACTAGTGTGTGTGTGTGTGTGTGTGTGTGTGTGTGTGTGTGTGAGAGAGAGAGAGAGAGAGAGAGAGGCTGTCAATTATCTACTATACTGAAAATACAATGTTTAGAAAACAAAATACCTGATGACTTTGAGACAGGAGGGCACCCCGATGTTTAATTGTGCTGTCCTCTTTGATAGAAACCAGCTTCATTTTCAACTGTTTTATCTTTTAGGCAGCAGCTCTTTCACTGATGTCTTATCATTTTCTCACATTGCTCAAACCAGCCTAAAATGCTCTTGTCCATCCAAATCTTCCTTGGCTTAACGGGCAACAGGCATTTACCCCTCCTTACATGTATGGAAGCCATCACTGTGAGCTGTCATTGGTCAGAGAGATGAGGCGGGGGAGTGGCCTCATTGACACTGAGAGCTCTCATGGGTGAAGGGGTGAGAGGTAAGCGGGGTTACAGGGAAAGACACTACAGAGAAACAGGCTCTTGGCTCTCCCTTATCGGTCAAACGCTGAACCTTATTTGTGTTTGCAGCAAAGGGGTCGGAAGTCCATGCAAACAGAAGCTGGAAGGCCCCAAGGTTTCTAGTCACTTTTCTTTTAGCGTGCAAGGCAGGTAGGAACTGAATGAGTCATCCATAAAGTAGAGGCTTGGAAGCAGAGGGCCTTTTATGATAAGAGGTACTTTTAACATCTAGGATTCACAAAAACAAAGGTCTCGTAGAAATATAAGAGAAAATCTCCGTAGTTAAAAAACTTTATTTGGGGGTCTGGGTTTTTTTTTTGCTAGCTAGCTAGCTAGCTAGCTAATATGACAATCTAAATTGTGATAAACTACCTCGGACAAGCTGAAATGTATTTATTTATTTTATAACACACTGCACAGATAACAAAAATGTGTTAACACAAGACACCAAATTATGCATGGATGGGTGCTACTGAAAATTAAGGCCACAGAGGAGTAATAACCTACTATTTAAGTCCCGCAGCTCCACACAGCAAAACAAGTTCACTTTTGCTAAAGTTGCATGCATATCCTGCTAAACTTCAGTTTTAAAGAGAACACTGAGAACATTGTGAGCGCTTCCATTTTACCCACTAAAAGCAGTGAATGCATGTCTGAATGTGGATCACTCTGCAATATACAATAGGAGACTGCACCACATTTCAAGGCCCAATAGATGGTGCTATATTGTGAAACATTTTTGAGACTTGACAGCCCTGTGCAGCTCGCGCTCAAGTAGATACAGAGCAATTTAAAATAACCTGGAAATGATCAGTGTTTAGGAAATGTATCATAACAATGTGGGAAAGCTATGAGAAAATAATGGAAAAAAACACTACAAATGACTCTGAGGTGTCAACACTAGAAGTTAGAAATTGGGTTATTTTAATCTTACCTAATGTCTTTCTCTCTCTCTCTCTCTCTCTCTCTCTCTCTCTCTCTTTGTGTGTGTGTGTGTGTGTGTGTTTGCACGTTAACTGGTCTCTTGAGTGTGAAAACTGCGTGCAAAACATGGCACAGAGACAGAAAAAGAAAAGACCAAAAAAACAGGTTTTAAACAAGCATCAGAGAAACTTTTGTACTTGAGACTGTATGAGTGCTGATATGAATGTGATATTCAGAGGAAATGGCAAAAGAAAGGCAGAGAAAGAGAGAGAGCAGGAAGAGGCTGCACCTGCAGAGGAGGTCTTCAGCTCTCAAGCCACCCGCTGTGCAGAGGGAGAGAGAGGGGGGGAGAGAGACAGATCGACAGAAGGAGAAGCGAAAGAGACGAGGGAAGGGGGAGCGCAAAAGAGGCTGCAGCAGCTGCAAGGTTCAGAGAGAGGGAGCACAGTAGAAGTCAGAGCTGGGAGAGAAAAGAAAGAAAGGCAATGGAAAGCAAGAGTGCAACCTCTTTTTCTTCCAAAGCCCCCCTGCTATGTCTCCCGTTTGCACTCTTACAAATTGCATAAAACTGCAAAAAAGAGAACGAGTGGTGGAGAAAAAAGACGAAAAAGAAAAAAAAATCTGCAGTGCTCGGCTGGTGTTTGAAATCATATGTAAATAAGGCACATTGATAATGAAGCGCCAGAGGAGGAAATTCCACTAATTACCTTACAGAGACTTGACAGGGAGCAGGAGGCGAATGTACTTGACGCACTGTTTTTCATGAAAAGGACAGAAAAGAGAGAGGAAAAGATCTGATGGCAAGACGACAGGTTTCCATTTAAAGTCAATGTAAGTCTTTCATTTAGCTTTTGATTCCAAGTAATCGTGGGTTCCTATGTGAACGTCGAGTTGTTAGGTTAAAGGAATGGGTTGGTTGAAAAGGAATCAGGGTGATTCACCATTCAACTGCATGTTTTATTTCATATTAGAGAGGAGATAGATAAATTATGCATGTCAGAGGGGGTCGATTTTAAATAAAGCTGTCACCGGCAAGTAGCGGTGAATCGAGCGCTCTATTCTGGGCCTATATTTTTTTTTAAAAAGGCAGTTTGGTGTTAAAATGTAAATCATTTGTGCACTGATGCTTGAAAATAAAGTAAAATAAATCTTAGTTATTTTATCAAAGATCTTGTCAGCAGGAAGTTGGTATTTTAAAATACCAACTTCCTGCTTACCTCTTTTTATTCAATCCATGTATTTATCTCAGAGGGAAGCAAGACTGACTGAACAGAGCAGAGAAGATAACATACAAAGTGACTTGTTGTGTAGTGGAGGACATGCAGACAGCAGAGCCTCTGTGCCACGGCTCTAAACACTATAAACAAGGCTCATCCTCCTCTGCTTTTATTGTGTGTTCCTTGCAGGCCTCACTAAATTATGTCTCCAAGTGTGTATAATACCGGAGCATCTGTTTGTTCCCTTTTCGAATAAATAGGTAGTGTTTAAATTACACTGTTTAAAGTACCCTCTTGCCGTGGCAGTCGTGGGGACTGGAAAGGAAACACAAAAATTAATTAGGAGACGGATGCTTGCACAGCATTTCTTCCAGGTGCATTTTGCACTGACGTCCAAGGACATTAGTGCCGTCTTTGATAGATTGAATAATCAAGAGAGTGAAAACAAGGCATGTGACCTCTCAGCGAGGCTTGCTGAACCGTGTCAGTTTACAAACAAGTTCTACTTTCTTGTCTCAAACTCTCTTGCTCCTCTTACCAAGTGTACGGAAGACTCTTATACAAGTTTAGTTCAGATTTTCATTGGGAAAAAACAATCCCATAGACAACTTCCATCTATCCATTTTCTTCCGCTATTTAAGTCAGGCCTGCAAGAGCCATCGTGGGGTGAGATGCAAGGTTGCACCCTGGACGCCAGTCTGTTGCAGTGCTAACACATAGAAACAGGCAACCATTCGCACTCATATTCACACCTATGGTCAATTTAGAATCACTACTTAACCTAGCTCGATGCATGCTTTCTTCATGTTTGATAAGGCATATTTATTTTTATAAACCGGATGCCCTTCTTGATGCAACCCCAAGTTAATTTTGCGTCTCCTCCCAGTGTTTAACTGGGGCTCGTTTGCTTATCAAGAAAATGAGTAAACCTAAAACTCTAGAGAACCATTGACTTAGCTCTAACAAAAAATGAATAACAGTAGCACTTTATAAAGGCAGAAAAAGCACTTAAAACATCTCATATAATAGCTAAGCATATCTTTTTTCTGATTTTCACTCGATTGCATTTTTTAAGAAGAAAAACTCCTCCCATGCTAGACTATCCCAGTGGCAGAGTGTACAAGGACATGTGCTAAAGTGAGTTGAATAAAAGTGTGTTATTGTCAGATCGTGAGCATTTTTACCCAATTAGACTTCAGATAAATTAGGAGGGTTGTACTTCTGGAAATCAATGTATTTTCAGCTTCAGTGATTAAAACTAAATGCCAAAGTTCTTTTTTACAGTCTTTGGTGTAAAACATCACACAGCATTTATGACTTCGGCTGTTCAACTTACTATGCTTCTTTACCTACCTGCCAGGTGCAGCTGCGAGTTAAAGACATCACTCATTCACGGGGGGAAAAAGAGCCCTTTTCCATCATAAAAAATAAATATTTTCAACGTTTTACCTCTTGCAGTTCTGCAGATCTACAAAAGGTGCCCAGCTTTAAGACTTTGTCACAGGAAATGGAGTCACTGAAGAGACACCTCTCTGAGATTGACTCGCCAACTGTCCTCTGCCACAACGACCTCCTGACAAAGAACATCATCTACAACGAAAAAGAGGGTGAGGAAAATTCTTTGGTTTTTAGAAATTCATCAACCTGAAAGCAGTAACAAACAAAAGAAGGCCTAATGCTAAACTACCTTAATTCTAGCTGAAGAGTGGCAGTGCTTCTGAAGCTAATGCTAAAATAGATGAATGTGTGGCAATATTCACATTACTGAAAATGCATTGTCCCTTATTTAATATCTTACCTTATTTGAAGTTATTCTGTTATAAATTTTTTAAACATTTAAAAAAAATATCGCCCGGGGTAATGTTCAGCAAAAGAGACTCCCTGTTCCTTTGACTCTCACAAGGTTCCTGTACTTTCCATAAAAACACGAAGGCTTATCAGTTGTACATCTATAGCTGAAATGTGTTTATCATGTTGTCTTAGTAACTGCTGTTGCTTTTTTTCCCCCTACATCCATCAGGAATGGTGAAATTCATTGACTACGAGTACGCCGATTATAACTACCAGGCCTTCGATATCGGCAATCACTTCAACGAATTTGCCGGTGGGTCTTTCAAAATAGCATCAATTTACCTCCAAATCTTTTTCACAGCCAGGACATATAAGATTCCTTAATGTGGAATATATGACTGCAGTAAATATTGTAAACACAGGATGTGATATTTTCAACGTTGTGTTTTCTCTGACTACATCATGTTATGATATAATGTGCCGTGAAACGATCTCCTTCTTGTGACACTCCTCAGAAAAATTGCTGCATTCAGTATGTGTTCTGCACAGTGATTAAAGTGGCTTTGATGGACCAGCTGTGTTAGAGCAAAGCACAGCAAGGACTGTCCGAACAATCATCAATGCAGTCATTTTAGATTATTCAGCTTTCAAGTTGTAACTTGCAAATTATCCACAATTCCCAATGACAGCAGCTGCAGTTATGTCTGATAGTCTTATGCAAGAAGGGGCTGACAGGAAGGGGCAAACATACTCCACACGAATCACATGCTGGAATGAAAGATACTGCACCTTTTATTCAAAGAAACAAATATTACAACTTTTTATTGTGTTCTTTTTTTTATCCTGATTATACCTCAAACAAAATTTGAAAATTAGCCGATGGCATGGTCTTGAATGATACAACTGTCTTGCAGACATTTGAACACAATTGTTGATGTAGGGAAGCTTTTATACGGGCAACATGAAAAACCAGTCTAGCTTAAATAAAGCGCTTCGCTATTATCTGTACAATATAACCCAGATGTTATACTATTGCTGATGTATGTAGAAGTCAACAGATGTGTCTAATTGCCAGGGTGCTTATTTACACTTCACAACATTTTATTACATTTTATATTTTTATATTTCACAAAATTTTATTTTTTTAATTTAAAGTAGACTTGTCAAATAAATGCAGTGCAGGAAAAAGCACAATACTTTCTCTGAAATTTAGTGGATAACATGTTATCCACTAAATTTCAACATATTGTTGTCAGCATGTTGTCACCCAGTTTCCATGCTGCTTTCTTATAACTTGTCCATTTGGAGCAAACGTTTCTCACTGCCTGAGTGGGTCTGACAAGTGTTGACCAAAGAGCTGTTGCTCCACTCAAAGTAGATATAGTTCACTGGCACGTCTTCAAAACAAACAGTTATTTTAGGCATTGTGTTGGATTTTAGCACCGACGTTAGTTCCACTAATGTGCACGTATATTTGTCGCATTTCAGGTGTGAATGATGTTAACTACGACCTCTACCCGAGCTGGGAGCTGCAGAGGGACTGGCTGACGGCCTATCTGGAGAGTTACAAGCACAGCACTGGACGTGAGGTCACAGTCATGGAGGCAGAAGTTACGCAGCTCTACATTCAAGTCTGCAAATTCTCTCTTGTAAGTGTCTGCTCCCACTGACTTTGTTGAAATATATCATTATGTAGTGCCTCAGCTCTTTGGAAAGACTTTGGAAAGTGACAAATCTCTCAACAGTTATTTCCTTTTCTTAGGTTTTGCTCTTGGAGGGACTCGAATATCTCAATATTATGAGATTAGCGTATGCATTTCAACAACATCCATATGTGTGCAGAGCTGTGGAATGGCGGGGTGGCAACATCTCACCATCATATTTTAACAATTTACTTTTCCAACTCGCCCCCCCAACCCAAAGAAAACCAAACCATCCACAGCTGACCCACCACTGTTCAAACTTTGATGGACTCCATCTGAGTTGATTAGAAACTACCGCAGGGAAAAATGAAACACAGCAGCCAAAATTATTTTTCTTATGACCACAATTTTCATTCTTTGGTGTCTCAAGTGGTGCTGGACTATCTGTCTAAAAGTGCTTTCATAGCTCAACACAATATGCAGAATTGTCCAACCAATTTTGGGGTGGTGTAAATGTCTCTTGAAATAGCACAGAATTGATGAGAAGGCATATTACTTTTTAAAATAACTTGTGCTTCAGCCAAAAAAACCGAAAGGGAAATGCGTGTGTGTGTGCGTGTGTGTGTGCGTGTGTGTGTGTATAAGGGGTAGAATATAGCCTGAAACTGAGTGATAGAAGTGATAATATCACGTTGATTGAAATCAGATTTTCTGCAACAAACCGAGGCGGACTCTTGAAGGTAGTAGGAGAAATTGATCACTGACGCTTAACAAGCCAAGTTTCCAGCTCAACTCGCTTTGACAAGCTGTGTGTCAAAGCTGTGTGTGAAGCATACGGGGCAGAATACTGATATGTTTCTGCTTAAAAATATTTACAAATACCTGCATCACCATTAAATAAATTGATTACATCTGCTTTTAATGAAATCAATTAAGTACAAGTTTATCGGTTTGTATCTCCTTAGTATCACTTGGTACATTTGTGAAATAAAAGTATGTTAATATAATACCATGCTCCGTAGTTTATAATATAGACAAAAAGTGACACTGTAGGAATTGAGGGAAGCCATCCTGCACTGTGTGGCATCGAGGAGGCCTGGCCAGTTGCCAGAGCTCTGCGCCGTGGAGCTGCCTCCTTCCCATCTTAATCCTTGGCAAACTGTGCCAAGACGCAGTGGGGTCCTTACAATCCGTCCTCTCCTCCGCAGGGATCCCCCATGATGCTGAAGCTGTAGCCTGTGGCTTGATGATGTCACTCTTCCCACACATTTATCATCTCCGTTTTTCTCAATGGCTCCCTGTCACCGATAGTCTCTGCTTAGTGTTAGATTAATGCTTTCTTAATGGAGAGCAGTTATTAATCATAATGGAAACACGCTCAATCTCCATCTCCAACTAAGGACAGAGATTAGAGATGAAAATCTGCCAGGGAGAAGGAGAAAAGCCAAGGGAAACCGCACATTGCTCTTCAAGTATTTCATTCCACCCTTTATTTGATTATCAAATAAAAATGTGATTATATCACTGGGCCACAGAACAGAGGCCCTTCTGGATCTTATTAAGACTTGCTATTAGTGGCCTTACCATGAAGATTTACAATAAGGGTGGAGAACAACAGAAATTTATGGAGGTATGGAGGTCTGCAAGACTAAGTGAGCAAAACCATTAAGGAGGGAACCATTCAATACAGAGGTTTGTCATTCTGACTAAGCAGCGCGCAACTGGCATGCAGCGGGAGCAGCAGCAGCAGTTCTGGGAGCAGTTACAACATGACAACCGGAGGTCACTGAAGTGTGTTTTCACAGTTGTGCGCTATGGCAAAGGGGAATGTTGCAAGAGCATAAAAATACAGCACCTGCGATTCTGCACTGCAAACACAATGCACAGTTTTACACTTCTCCTGGGACTGGCTGTGTGTTCTTAATGAGCCTGTCATTCAAAGAGATTCCTTCGGTTCATTGTCTCAGCGAGCACACATTTTCCCTGCTGAAGTGTTCCTGAGCAAAGCATAACATTTGACCTCACTGTGGCCTCTGTGTAGGAGGCAAAGAATTATGCTTTTGAAACTTTGTTGTTTCAAAAGGGCGTTTGAGAATCTCATTGTGGTCACATAATGCTGTCATGTTGTCATTCCTTTGATGACAGAGTCCAATATTGTACTGACTGTGTGAGCTTTAATACCACAGGTAGGCAGTACAACATATAACTGTATTTTGTTAAACAGCACAATCCTTCAGTTATTTTTACATTTTCCAATGATATTGTAATGTTCTTCTTTTTTTCAATATTCAATCTTTATTTTTTATATACTAGCTCCCTGCAAAATCAATTTAAATTGTACAGTTTTGTAAAACACCTGAAAAGTAGCTCCAAATCAGCTCAGACACAAATATGAACCAGAGTTACGCTTTTTGAAACTTAAATTTTATTTTATTTTTTTTACTTCCACCAGGCATCCAGCTTCCTCTGGGGTCTTTGGGCCATCCTGCAATCACGTTTCTCCTCGATTGACTTTGACTTCCAAAGGTTTGTCCAACGTCTGACAAAGACATTTAAAACTCCCACAACTCAAAGTGTCACTCTGCATAAACAATGCTCAAGTTTCCTAAAATGTCCTGGGTGAGATGTCCCATCCATCAAAAAAATGTTGAGTTCATTAGTATTTAAATTGATGTTCTAATTATGTTAAGTGACACCTTCACATTAAAACGCTCTCAGTAAATGTTTAATAAAGGAACCCATGTAACCGCAAATAAGAATTATTACTTCACTGCAGTTTTTTTTCAGCTGTTAATGTCATCATCCATCACTTGAAATACTCTGAAAAAGAAAAATATTTATAGGACATTGAATTTAGGCTCTCGGTATATTAGTGCAATGTTTAGACAAGCAGGATCTTCATTAGAAAGGAATGACAAAGAATTTGTTGGCAGTCAAACTGCGAAAAAAAAAAAAAAACGGTTTAGAAACATAAGCCTAGAATATAGAAATATTTCATTCTCCCCCCAATGCTTCAAGTCTTTGTGTATTTAAAATCTGGCATAAAAAACAGGCGAGACAAACACACTTCTTCTACTCTTCATGTCACAGACAAAATATTTACACATGAAATTCTCTGCTTTTCTTCACTGATAAACCGCAACATAAGATGAAAGCCTCGGTTTTCACAAAGACTTTCAAAGGAGATCAAAACTAACGTCTTTTATTTTTAACAGTGATCACCATTGAGGACTAGTTATCTTAAACAAGTCCAGGAGACATTCCTCACCGGCAGCAGCACTCAGACAGTTCAGGAAGGCAAAATGTTTCCCTCAACCCCCACTTTTTTTCTGCCTTTCTCCTTTTTCTGCATGCCCCACACCCACAACAGTTGTGATCATGATCCTAATCACTATTGACACACGGCACCCTCCCCTCTGTGTGGCTTTTTCTACTCGCTTGCAAGATCAGCGACAGGGCCCCCACCTCATTTCAATCTGGACCTTGGAGGAAATGTGATCCAGAGGGGTGCTGAGGCACAGAGGCACTATTGTTCCAGTGCCGTCATTCCTGCCTTACATATACATCTCTCATCCCTGGCTGGGCCACATGTGCCTGCTGAACGTCTACTCCTTTAAGCTACCGGCTGAGGTTGTCCTAAAGTGGATGGTGAGGGTTGGGTTACCTTTCTTTAACTGGAGGGTTAAACTGAAACGAGCTCTGAGAGCAACAACAACAATGGAGAACCAAGTCTAATGTTTAAAAGCGGGAGGCTACTATCTAGCTAACCTCTGCCCCACGCCCATCTCTGTCATGCAAGACACATTCATGCACTTAAGCCTCCCTTTCAGGCAAGAGATACATAACATCGCTGGCTTCATCGATCTGTTAAAGTGACAACATTATTACATTCAGACATAGGTAACCTTTGGCTTAGTGCAGACATACATACAACAGGCAACATCAGTAATTGTGCAATTTTTGTACAATACATGCAAATGAGTTTTGCTCTTCAAGAAGAAAAAAATAAGAAACTATTTAAACCTTGAGTTGTTGCATGGGTGTGCATACTTGTCTGTGTTGTGTGTGTGTGTGTAATTTCTCCCACTGCTATCCCCCTGAGCCAAATCACCAATAACTTCCCAACGAGTGACAGGCGTCACCCAGGCCTTGTGCTCTAACCAGAGCCAGATGTAGATGTGACAATAGGGAGCCACAAGGGGAACGCAAACCCGCCCTCCTTTTACCATCCATATTTACTTTTCTTATATGGTTTTTTTCATGTGTTGAAAGTGTCTGCAAGTCAGCAGTCTAGATTTGTGGACGTGCTGGCAAGGCGAGCTGTTATTTGACAAAGACATTATTATAAGGAAATGAACAAGGAGCAGGCCCACTGTTTGGAATAGCTTGACTACAAAATTGAGGGAATTGTGCACAAAAGCACATTGTGAAATGGAATACCTGCATTGGCAGGAGATCATTTTTCCCTACTCTTGCTAAATATAAAAAAGCCTCCATTCATTTCTGATGAAGATAAACATTAAGTATGCTAGTCTTAGGTGTCACCCTTAATAAAAATAGGGATAAATGGGATTGTCTGTGAAGCTTGCTGTTCTTATAGGAGGGAGGGTGTAATAGGCAATTACATTAATAGAAGAAACTACAGGGTGGGGTTGAGGTGTGTGTGTGTTAAATTAGCTGATAGTGAAGCTATTTTGACTTTTTACATTACTTGGTAGGAATCTATCAAACTCTGTACTAAACTGAAGAATAACACTGATTTTTTATTAAGTTGCTTTTTCTTTACTGGATTTTGTTGGGGAAAAAACAAGAAACTGCTGCCTGGAATTCTTTATTGAGAAATGTTTTGTATAGGAGTGGTAAGCGATTCAATAAGTGAGCAATTAGTGTTTAAGTATTCTGTCAGTCTATATGTCTGAACTCGCCGGATTTTTCAGATTCACACAATTTTCATTTACGCACATGCAGTGGAATGAGTGCATTCAAAGAAGAGCAGTGCATACAGTGGACACAGCAGAGAAAAAAACAAGGCCGACATTGATGGGATTTGTTTCCTAATCCTTTTTACAAAAAACAAGTTTAGGACTGCTATAGGAAATGAATGGGAACCCCCCCCCCCCCCAAAGAAAACCTTTCTTATCTCAGCAAGACAATGTCAAACCACATTCAAGAATTACAACAGCATGGCTCTGTAGTAAAGAGGTCTGAGTGCTGTGCAGTTACCTGCTGTTACCCACTGAAAACTTTTTGTGTCATATGAAAAATCAAGTACGAATGGGGGAAACATTAGGTTATCGAACCTACATGTCTCGTGGGTTTCCAACAGCTTTGCTAAAAGTAGTGATGAACATGCCTGCGTTACAACTTGAGCATGTTCCAGCATTTGTTTTGCTGGCATCCAAAACATAATCTAGTCATTAACAAACACTGGGCAGCAGGGTTTAGTGGTGCCACCCCACAGGGAGCATGTTAACTGCTAATTCTAAATTAGCTGTATTTCATCATATAATATATGAAAGTCATGTTCTGAGTCAATTCACAATTTATACAGCATCCATATTTGTGTGGAAAGCAACTTGTTCATAGCTGTACAACAGCTCTACTTCCCCACCTCCTGTATACATGCTATTGTAGCAGTCAGCAGAATCTGATTCTAGTGGGTCATTATGAAAATATGAAAATGAAAATGATGAGCAAACACTTTAGTTTTCTGGACCAATAAGGATAAGGGAGGCTTCATTCTGCTGTCTGAGTAAATGAAAGAAGTGTCAGTTATCAACTGTAGCACATGACTTGCTTGAAATTAAGTCTGTCCAGAGAAAACGCCTGTTGAGGCTCGCCAAACCACAGCGAGCGAAGTGAAAATTGTCTGCTGGCCTCCACCAATGATTTCTACTCCCCAAAATTTTATTATGAACTTTTTTCTTTCTTTTTTCTTTTTTTCATTTTTTTGCAGTGGCAAAGGTTATACACACAGTGTACCACCTATCTCTATCAAACATGTACTGGTAAATCTAAAGGTCAGCCTTCAGCAAAGCAAAAACTAAAAGAAAGGAGAAAATGATGAACAAAAGCAGACAAAAAAAGCCAGGCTTTGACACAAAAATTAGAGTGTAGCTTTACCCAGAGATGCAGGTGGGAAAGAATAACTAAAAGGCATGTGACTAAATTATCGTTTTGTCTCACAACACAAGCGCTTGAAAACTGATTTGGCATTGAGGAGTTCAGTGAAAGCACTGATTAAAGGACAAACTCCTCTCTGTGCCTCCATTTTCTGTGCTTTTGAAACTTCACTTTATTTCAAAGGGTATAGCATAATGGCCAAGGGCAACAGCGTACTCAGACATCAGATTTATTGAGGCGTTCAATAATATGGTTTGAACAAACACAAAACCACTTCTCTTGCCGTTAACTTCTGAGATGCGCTGAAGCTTTGGCACAGCTTTCAGACTCATTGCTTCATTTGAGAGTCTTGATGCTATTGTTACGCAAGATTGACAAACAAAAACACAGTACCCACCTATAAAACCAGACAGAAAGAGCAGCCTGTAGCGAACAGTGAAAGATACATTATGGCCACAGATACATACAGAGGAGGGAAGCAACAAAGTACAACTACTTTGTTTTTGGACTTCTGTAGAACTTCTAGGTATGTGTATTTTACCTACTTTTGGGTTTTACTCCCTACAATTTAACAGAAATACCTCTACTTTATACTCATATATTTTCAAATGATGGAGTAGTCAGGACAAAAGAGAGCTGCAGTGGTCCAGAACAGCATCCTCAATGTAGATGTGATCACTACAGCTTCTAGCTAGACTATAGAAGAGAAATGAGCATAAAGGCAGCATAAAGTGTCAGCTAATTTCAGCTGAGCTAATATCATGCAATTTGTCACAGAGCATGTCTGCTAGCTAAACGTGCAGCTGCTGTATTTCACTGGGAGAGAAAAGAATGTGAGAAGTTAAGTCGGAGATGGAGAAAGACAAGACTGACAAAGACAGGACAAGAGAGTAGAAGACAGATTTATATTAAAGCTAAGTCAGTGAAACCTGATAAACTGGAAATTTAAAGCCTACAAATAATGTCCACTTTCATTTTGTGAATAGATATCTGAGCTGTACACGATTTCAAGTGATGTTTTTTCACACTGTGAAACTTTTTACAACACAAATTGTAAAATGTTTGAATTACTGTCTGTTATTCAAAGGTTCAGTGAACATGCTAGGCAGGCCAAACAGGTTAGTTTGCAGTGCTGTGGAGAGGTCTCAAGAGATGGACTAATGCAGTTGGCTGCCATGTTCATGGTCAATGTTAGGTTACATAAGGAGTAGCAGATATCAAAGACAGCTTAGTCTGATGATGCTGACTAGATTCACTCAGCCCAACTAATCCCAGGATCCCCACTCCTGCTGAATCCCACTTTAACCCCTGATTATATTCATTTTTCTGTTTAAATGTAGAGGCAGAACCTGCCATTTACAATGTAGGTAACCACAATTAGAACTTCCTCTTTTCTGTTCTGCATAACAGATGTTTGAGATATTCATCAGAATAAGAATTTACAGCACATTACAGCAGTCACAGCGCTTCACCTGATCCACATTTGTCACATTTTGTTACAGCCTTGTTCCAAAATGGATTAAATTCATTTTTCAACTCAAAATTCTGCACACGATATCCCATATTAACAAAGTGAAAAATGTTTACTTGATATTGTTGCATTCAATTAAATGTAAAAACAAAAATATAATATGTGCTTATGTATTTACAACTTTTGCCATGACACACAAAACAGGTACGTATCCTGTTTGCAGCTTGATTTGAGTTTACCTGTGGTAAATTCAGTTGTTTGGACATGATTTGGAAAGGCACACACCTGTATATGTAAGGTCTCAAAGCTGACAGTGCATGTCAGAGTGCAAACCAATTCAGGACAATGATTTCAGCACCGCCCCACCAATCAGGCCTGTATGGCAGAGTGGCCAGGCAGAAGCCACTCCTCAGTAAAAGGAACATGACAGCCTGCATACAGTTTGTTAAAAGGTACCTAACAGATTCTCAGATCATGAAACAAATATTGGACTCTTTGTCCTGAATGCTAACAGGGACACTGTCAGGGTCAAGGGAAAGATAAATATATAGCAATGTACAGACACATCTTTGATGATGACCTGGTCCACAGTGCTCTAGACCTGTGGCAGGGGTGAAAGTTTATCTTCCAACAGGACAATGACCCTAAGCACACTGGCATGATAACAAGTGTGTGACCTCAGGACCACTCGGCAAATGCCCTTGAGTTACCTAGCCAGAGCCCAGACTTGAACCCAGTGCTGAAAAAATATTTTGCAAAGGCTTGTAAATACTGTTTGTATTGTCATGTACTTTTTACTTTTATGTTTGGAGCACATTTCATGGACTGTACTTTTTCAGTTTAGTAAGAAGTTGAATCAGTTATTCAGCTTTTACCAGATAATTTTTTTATAAGAATCTATAATTATATCTAATCGTATTTATTATAATCTGCATTAGAATATTATATTTAATATATCATATATTATATAAATGTAATAATTATATAATAATTATATTACACATTTATATAATTACGTGGAAAATGTCTGTAGTTTTGCCACCTCTGGACATATACAATGCATCTTGAATAATAATTTTAGGTACTAATTTCTATTATTCTCATATAAAGACTGAGACTGAAAAGACATGAATATTTTGACATTACAAGTATGTTTCAAGTGATTAAACAGTTTGCAAGTTGCCAATATGTCAAAGAGGCTTCAACCAAAGAATGTTAATAATATTATAAATATTATATGTTTACTACAGGCAAGTAGGGTCAAATAAAACTCTGTGGTGTTGAATTGAATTGTGGAATTGTAGCCACTCAGACACCTTTTAGATGCTGTTTTTCTGTCAAAGCCAGTGGCTCACAGGTATACACAAGGTTTCCATGATGCCATGATGGCATGATAGGTATTGTCAATAGTACGACGAGTCTTTTCACTCCCAGTTTGTCAATATGAATTCCAAATTGTCCCTGATGTTTCATGGGTGTGTCTGTAATTGGAAAGTACTGTGTGTAATATTAAAGCACTGTACAAATGGGTAAATATTTCTTCTCATGTAAACCATTACAAGTGGTGAGACTAGATTTAAATGTATTTTTTGTGAAACACCGCTTCATAAGTTACTTAAGTAAAACGTACAGTTACGGTAAAGAGTGATCTTAAGACAAAATTTGTCATGAGTCATATATGCTTGACTCGTCATATATAGAAACGGACAAGACAGTCTCAGTTATTTGACATACTTGCCTGAGCACATTTGATCTAAGGTTGACACATGCCACCCTTGGGCAATGTGACTTTCCAGCCAACAGATCAATGTACAGCTGTGCAGTCTTTAAGGCCCATTTAGTTTTTGTATAGTGTATAAGATTTCTTTCTGTTATCTAATCATGTGTTTTCTGTCTCCTGCTGTTTGCAGATATGCCACTGCACGACTGAACTTCTATTTTGAGAAAAAAGAGGAATACTTTGGACTGGCAGTGAACTAATTAATCCCTCTACTTTTGCAGAACAATTATGTGTTTCTTGTGTCAAACAGTGCTGTGGACCATATGTCAGATGGTGGAAATGGAAAAGCATAGAATAACCTTATAAAAGTGCTCCCCATAGTTTGTTATTTCAGGCTGTATGGTGTGACTTAATATGTTTTGCTATCACTGTGATTTTTAAAATATTTGTTTTACCACAGTCAGTATGCCGATAAGCCTATTTGGCAAATTGAGAAGAGGCTCGTGCCAGAAATGAATTAATTGTTCCCACATTCAGCCGAGTCACATAAAGCCACAAAAATTGAGCTTGATCATAAAACACATAAGAGGGTTATTTGCAGGCTTATTCAGTGTGTACCACAGTTCTGGTGGAAAACAAGCTTTCATTTCAACTTATTTACTGTACCAAGGGCATTATTTTAATGTTTCTCTTTCAGAATGACTTGCTATAAAAATATCATGTGTGACTTACAGGGTGTTTGTTAATGTTGCCATAAAAGGAAAATTTAAGAGAAAATCTTATTGAAGCTGTCACTGTGTGAAGACAGGCGAAACTGAATCAGGAGTTACATGGTATGTACATGAACCAAAATGCAATGCTGACTGATATCAGTGCTTTAACAAGTGGATTTTACTTACTCTGTTCATTTAATAAGGTAAAAATGTACTTTAACTCCTAGTAGTGATCTGTTTTTTAAAAATATTCATCAAAATTTAGGCCCACAAACATTGTATGATCTTGGTGTGATCTCCTTGAATATGTCTCACAGGATGTTAAAAAACAATGTAATGTATAATGGTTTACTAAACAAAAAGCAGATTAAGGGTGCGCACACTAGGGCAAATCTGTAAATAAGCAATTTAAAATTGTCATAGCATAACAGGCACAGCTGTAATTATTGCTTTTTTTGTCATAGAGACTTGTAGGAATAACTAACCATTCACCCTTTTACTTAGATTTAATTGTCATGTGCCATGCATATACATAAACAATGAAATGGTTATAATTGACCAACATCAGGGAATTTGATTGAAATACTTTGCTGTTTGCTTTTCGGCTCAATTCAAATGCACTTATATAGCTCCAAATCAGAACAACACTCGCCTCAAGGTGCTTTATGTTGTAAAGTATAGACCCTACAACAATATATTTGAAAATAAATAAGAGGTGTTAACAGGTACACTAAAGCTACTAGCTGAGGACATATTATTGTAAAAATACCTTCTGTCATGCATTTAAGTGCACTTAAACTGTAATTATGAGGCAGATCGCTCACATTTTTATGCTTCCAAAGTATATAAATAACAGAACATAATGATATAAAGAGACAGAAATGAGCAGTGTGATCCAGATTCAACTTTGTAACTGTAAGAGCTTTTCAAATGAAAGCTTTCTTTATTTCACTGTTTAAAAGAATCTGGTATTGATCAAAAGTGCTACACTGATAGTTCATATAGGTAATGTAATTCAGTGTTGTACCACATGTATATGATCACATGAAATAGAACTTCAATTGTAGTAGAAAACTGAGTAAAGGCCATTAAAACAATAACTCTGGCCAATATCAGGAAGATGCTACCCTTTCTTATGTGCAGCATAAAGCAGCGGATTTGTCCTCACTCCTAAAAATATTGGTTTAGTGAGAATACAGCCTAAGTAGAGCGTGCAAGAACTCGCAAGAACAGAAATAGTTACATGCTAATAAGACAACTTCAGCTCTTTGTAGCCTTCTGCACAGACAGCACGCTAATGCAAAAGTAGCAACAAAAAAAACCCCTAGGATGTTAAAGTCATTCTGTGAAATGAAATAACATACTGATTACTTTTAAGAAAAGTAATTGGTTATGTGTAACACATTACCTTTGTTGAGTAATAACAGCAAAACTGAGTAGAGTGATGTAATTCTGTTGTGAATACTTGTTTAGGCTAAGGCAGGGTGGATGGCAGAGGCTCCATAGCTCATTAGCACAACTGTCTGATTCTTAAAATCAGCAAATACTTTTTCAGTATTTGACCAAAACCACAGTTTATTTTTCTCAAATGTTCACCAAGTGCTTATGGCCTTGTGATATATCTCCCACTGCCACAGTATTTTCACAATTGTCAAAACAGTATTTCCAGAATTGTCAAAACAGTTTCACCACAAACTCCATTTAATGGCTGTTCTGAAGTTTTTGATCCTATCACTGTATCTTCAGTGGATGGAGCAGCTTAGATGTCATGGAATTATCGATTTTTCTAAGCACTTAAAGGCAACTCTAGAGAAGAATGTCTGCATTTGGATGATTCACTAGAACCTCAGACTATTTTGTTTTCTAACATTTGTAATGTCATTGCTCGGATTCTGTAACAGCATCTGCGGAATAACTTGAGGGTAGAGATAGCTTGAAGTTATGGCACATAAAATATCATTAGGGAATAGTTAGGCTTGGGTAAGTCAAGGCTGGTTTTTATGCTTTGGCTCTGTGGTCTTACGTATTATTTAGTTTCAAGGTACCCAAAAAGTGAGTGACCTGTAAGCAGTGTAGAAACAGATGAAGCTACTGTGATACCTGCTGTATGTATTCTCTCCAGACACAGAAGGTTTGAGAAAGACATCACAATATGATTGATAAAATCATGAAGCTAAGTGATACCAAACTCCTGTATTAAAGTTGGTCTGTACACCACCCCAGCTTCCACACCCTTGTAAGTGCATTATTACATAAAAAGAAGAGTACATCCTGCAGTATTGAATGACGGCATTGGGCCTAAATGTTATAACGCAACAGGCATTGGCCAGTATACGCATATAAACGCTTGAGATGAAAAGCTTTGCGGCAGAGAACAAAAAAAGGTTGAGGGGTCAAAACTCTTGAGACTGAGTGAGAAAATCAAAAGCAGGAGGCAAATATGGAATTTACAATGGAAGAGATTAAAATATGACTATGATAACTGGAAATGTTATGTTAAGTGAGAGATTTTATCCATAAGACTTTTCTTTTCCAATGTTGGTTCCTTGTAGGATAAATGGTTGGTAACTTGTCCTTCAAACAGTTTTGATTGGTAAATGATATGTTTGTGTGTACTCACAATCAAACACATCGGTCTTTACAAAGTACATGTGACATGCTCACAAATGTCAATGAGTCCTTCCACTCTATAACTGCTTCTACTGTCTTTATCTGTGAAGGGAGCACAAAAGGGAATGTGATTGTAAAATCAGTAGAAAGGATTATGGCGGGTCAAATGAGGGGAGGACTAGCTACAATGGCGTTCTTTACCTCCTCATGGTCGCGCACAGTTCCACTCATCAAGGCTGCAGCCGTGTCTTTGAGTCAAACAATCCAGCTGCTTTCATGCTGGCATTTTTCGTTAAACATATAATATTTAATTAGCGGACTAATGCACTTAAAAAGACCCAAGGACTTTGGATCAAAAAGAAAAAAATTGGCCTTTTGTCCATTGCCTATTTTCCTGAAAAAGTGCTGTAGATTTTTTTCTTTCACTTTTAATTGCATTAAAAAAAGAAGTATATGCCTTTATGCAATGTTTCAAAGACATAGAAACCAGGGAAAAAAAACCTGTGAAAGCAATTCCTTTCAAAGGGCTTTTTTGTATGATTCTCTTTTATTCAGACATTGCATTTAGCTTTTTGGTTATTGTTAAATGACTGACAAGGCTGTTGACCCTTGGAATTCTAATAAGTACCCAGTTTGCAATTGTAATCAACTTACATTAGCAACAATATACTCAAGGGAAGGTTTTACTATAAATTCATTTGTTATACATGTTACATACAATGCACAACGCATGCTTTTTGTTCCTATATTATATAGAGTGCTGTCACTTTCTCAGTTCCATTTCTAAATTCACAAAGTCAAACCTTCTCCTGTTTTTTTTTCAAAACACATGAGCCACGTCACCAACTATTCAGTATAGCAAGTTCAAAACTAAAGGCATTTCCATCAACCCCAGCTGTTCATTTTTTCTACCAGTTTGCAAACTGTGTGCTAACAGGCTAACTCGAAAAGCTGTCTCTTAGCGTTTAGAAACCCTCATTATTTAATCAATTAGGTTGCAGCTCCCTTGTTCACAAAAAGTTATATTTTAAAGAGTAATGTGAGAAAAGTATAAAAATCTTATTGCTCCTTCATCTATGACTTCCACTTTCCCAGTTAGTTTATCAGCTCAGTTGCTCATTTGAAGTGTTGTTAAATACCGCCTTATGTCCATTTGTATATTAGGGCCCCAATTAGGATCCAAAAGAAGTATAACACAGGGCATTGGGTTTGATGAGTAACTACCTCAGTTTCTCAGTGAAGAACCATAGCTGACCATGATAAGCTTCAAAAAGAGATAATCTCACGAAGGGTATGACCATCTTCTTTATACAGTCTGTGATTTTCCATCAAGACCTACAAGACAGCAGACGTCTGAAAAAATGTGGAATTTGTGTGTTTTGTGCATGTGAAAATAATTTAAATGTAACGGTAAAGTGCAAGCATATATAGACTATAAACTTTCATTTGTGTCAAATTTAGGGGAGGAAGCCGTGTTTCTGCCCCAAATACCCAGAAATATTTAACTTTATTAAGAGATTTAAAAAAAAAATATTTTAAACTGTTTTTGTTTCGTATTGCTTTTCAGTTGGGAAAATAAAACCTCTGGTGTATGTAAAAGCAAAGGCTTGTTTTAGATATCATATTCACGTGACCATACAACTAACTGCACCACTGCGCTGCATTAGGTGGCGGAAATGCAAGAGATCAAAAGCCAGGCAATATCACAAAAACAGTGAGCATGGAGAAGATTCAAGCTGTGCTCTTGTTGATTGTAATTTTTTTTTTATGCTATTCTTGAGTTATTTAAAGCTTCTTAAATCTAAACACTTCAACAGCATTTTACAAGCTACAGCAGAGAAATAACATGAGAGAGATAAAATACTCGACTCGGAAATGTTCATGGCTGCAAACCAAACCCAAGTGCACCTGAACTTTCAGAGAAAACAACTTTCCCCCTGACAAGGAATTTTTCTTGGGGGGCGTCCTCTTTTTGCCAAAAAGTGCAGTGGAAATATACCGAGTTGCTACAAATACTTGTAGTCCATGAGGAAAGTTTTTGCAGGGAAAACGCTGCTGCCTAATTTCACAATGTAGTTAAAAGAACAGTTAGGAAAAAACAACCTCTAAATCATACGTAGACTTCTAGACGACTTTTTACCTGATACATCACACAAGTGGCACCCATTGTGAAACATGATCAACTCGACAGGAGTGAAAGGGTCAATTAGTCTCCTTTAAATCAAAAGCATTTTAATGATTAAGCATCATGAGCTCAAAGAGGATGTAGTGTGCTGCAGCACCGTGACCATTCTGTGTGCTTTAATGAGTAGTGGAGCCTCAATGATCATAAACGGGCTGGCTTTGATGCCTCATTGAAAGAGCCTCTCCAACACGTCTGAAGGGGGCTCCTCCTTTGTAATAACAATTTATAATTCTCTTGATCTAAATGCCCAATTGGTGGGGAGAGAGGAAAAAGAAAGGATGTGGTTCTTTCTAGTCTTCAAGACGGTTTTTAAAAATCAAAAAGTGAATTTGCCTAGAGGGCCCAACCAAGACCAGGTTTCCATGAAGAAAGCATCTCAATATGTCTCATCATCCCCCACACACGAAACCTATGAGAAAAGAAAGGTAAATTCAAAGTCTATAATCACACACTTTAAGTTTACTAATAAGTACATTTCTGCCTTATATGAAAGAAACGGTTGCCAACGTTATTAGCCAAGGTGTAGAGCTTTACTGCAAAACATTTAGTTTTCTTTTGGTGTGTGGCTGTCAAGTCATTTTAGTTATGTCCATGAAGTTCTTTGATTGATATAGTACAACTGATCCTGTTATGGAGGACACAGTTTGTGCAAATGACCATAAAATATATCACTGCAACCCACTGTTGCTAGTTGTGCATTTAGCTACCAGTAGCTACAACAACTGGGAAAAGTTAATGGAAACAGAGGATTACATCATTTTCCTTCAGGGATGAAATGTTAAGGGATAAATAAGTTTGTATACATTACTGCAGGAATGTACTTGAAATTATAACTGTGCTGTAACAAGCTACACTAACCTTTGTTGAGGTGCTGAAAGCTTCGCTTATGCTCACACCAACTGTGCACATACGCCCAAAAAAAAACCCTGTCAACTTGAAAACAACTAAATGTTCATCTTGAAGAAAGGAAAAAGGAAATGTAAGTTATGATGACCCGTTTAAAAAGCTTAGCATGGCAACAGTGCAAGTATGATTTCAAACACCCCTCCCAACTAAACGCTATAGAATAGCACACACACACATGCTCACAAAGGAGTGTGTGACAAACTTGCCGGCGCCCCTCGCTGGGTGACGCTACAGTTGATTTGGGAATTACAATTAGATTTATGATGTGGCTGCATATGGCTAAGCTCTCTGTTTCTCTCTCTGAAATGCTGGGATTGGCTGCAGCGAGCACCGGCGCCGTGCCGTATACACCACAGCACAGTCAGAATGTGTGGCGTTACCTCACACACGCACGCACGCACAATGGAACAATAGGCCACATTTACCGTAATGGGCCACCAAAATATAAAGAGCGAGTGGAATAGCTCAACTTTGGAAACAGACAGCCTTGTGTTGGAAATTATTAGATCCCTGGAAAGTAAGGGTACTATTTAGAGCAATGGAAATAAAAATTCATGCACCACTACCTGTAAAGTTGCGCGCATCGCTTTCATACACAGAACACAATATGTTGGTGGGGGGTTTTCTGCAAATTTTACAAAGCATTCAAAATATTTTTCCCACCCAAAATTAAATACATGAAAAAAATAAAAGCAAAAATCTCAAGTCTTTACTTTTTTTTATTTATATATATTTTTTGATTGTCTTTCTCACCAAGTTGTACTGACACTTTTTAGAGCCAAAGCTGGCTAATAAATACAATGAAATGTTAAAATGCACAATTGGATTTCAAATACAATACTCATCACAAAAAAAAAAATGTGTGTGACCAGGAAATGCTATGTTCTTCCTCTGCGGGTCACAACTGACGAGAGCATGAGGTTACCTTTCCAAAGAGATCAGAGGCGATGAGACCCCTTCAGGTGATACTAGAGCTGCGGCAACAAGATCTGCTTAAATAAATGAAATGCTTCCAAAGAAATGGCAATTTACTGGTGCCTCGCATGTACCAGGCTTCAAAAATGTGACTTTTAACTGACTAATATATCATGTTTAAAAATCAAACAACAACTTCACATTAGTCAATACTAAAAAACAAAAACAAACAAAAAAACAGATTCATATCCAGTGCTTAGGATGTGTATGAGACTAACAGAAATGTCTATGCACGAGGCTTTTTTTTATGTAACACAAGCAAAATCAGTGTTCAGTCCCAGCTTGTGAAGCATTTTCCAAGTAAAAACCGCCAGATATGGTCGTGAAGAGAAATTTGGGATCAAGATGACCGAAGCAGCTGAACAGAGCACCCAGAAACCACCCGAGGTCACACGTTTTAAGAATGGAAACATTAAAAATTTCAGAGAATGCTTTGAAAAGAGTAAAACTAAGATTCGTCTGCAGAGACATTTGAGTAAAACAGGGACTGCTGACTGCTGTGCTGCGTCGAGACAATAGAGAAACATCTTCAGATGAGTGGAAAAACTTGTGTGCTCTGACTGGGGCGGTGGTTACTGAGAGGCAGACTGGTTAAGCACCTTTCCCCTTCGCTAATGTTCTCTTAATAATTTGCTCATGTTCAAAATACAAATGCAGTGTAGAAAAAAAGGTACCCTTTTGAAACAGCGGACCTATTAAACCCATTTTCTATATAAATAATTTTTTAAAACACAAGTTTGGCATATATTTCCAACATAATGCTAAGAAGACATTTAAAAATTAACAAGCTAATAAAAGAAGTAATATTTGTTACATTTTTGTACCAATGCTAAACACAATAAAGTGAAGGGATTTATGATATTACAATTTCTTATCCTACAGTAGGGTCATCCAGGGGTGCACCTTCATCTTCCTATTCCAACTGAATGAACAGATTCAAAGGTACCTTTACCTTTAGCCTGATTTAAAGGGACAGAAACATTTCTAATACTGCACTGCACTTAATGCATTTGGCCTCAAAGAACATTGGGCAGTGTGGTTTATGGAAGCACTAGTGCAGTGGAATAAAGGAATAGGCGCCTTCGATGCTGCTCTTCTAACTACGTCTCAGAGCCATAGGGTCTGCCAGAGAACGACATTCTGTGTGTGTGTGTGTGTGTGTGTGTGTGTGACTAAGCAAGTGTGATGAAAAAATAACCTCCCTGAGCACTGTTTGTGTTTGGGCCAGGAGGGGAGCCAGCAGTTGATGAGTAGGAACCCACTTCATCAAATAGAAAAAATTGATTGTATAAGACTTTTGCAGCATTGGAAATTAAGACTACAACATCCCGAGTGAATGTGAATGTTTGGCACATTTGAAGAAAATCTGTACAATTTATGGGTACTTACTTACTTATTTAATAATAATAATAATAATAATAATAATAATAATAATAATAATAATAATAATAATAATAATAATAATAATAATGTAAGGGAATTTGCTCCCTTTATTTCATTGACAGTCCTACCACTCTTTTTGTATGAAAACAAACAAAACAAATAACACATTCACAAGCTGGCACATCATACCTGAGCTGGGATATTTAAAAAAAAGAAACAGTAATGTAAGGTAAGCAGTTTGTCAGAAAAAAAAGTGTGTAGCAAATAAATCGTAAGAAACAAAAGTAAGACTATAAGGTTACAAGAGCTAGGATTTATATTAAAAACTTTCCAAATTTCAAGTTCCGACAGTCTAGAGTTTGTACAGGCAGTGACCTGTCAGAAAAAAAGTCTATAGAACAAAAAAGCAAAAAGGAAAAAAAAGACAAAAAGTAAATACATAACAATGAAAACTAAATCACTCCTTAAACATTTAAGACCAAATAGCTGTTGAGGACCGATTCCTAATTCTTCGAAATCCATGCATGCCCTTTCACAAACTACACAGCAATGTGTTCGTCGCTCGTTTGTTCTTTGTCCCATTTTCTCTCATCCTCTGTTGTCTAACTCTTTTTTTTCTCTCGCTCCTGTTAAGATTGTCAAAGTAGAGGAAAGTGAAGTTCACTGTCAGCTGGACATCTGAAGATTGATCAGACTGTGTTCTTGGGTCACGTTTTTCCTATTCCTTCGTTTTTCCATTTCTTCAAATGGGCGTCCATCAAAGATACTATCCCAGAACTTTCTGAGCATGTCTGAGCTGATTTGAAATCCTGTTGGGGCATGCTCGGTGCATGACGCAACATGTCCTGAAAAGTTAAACTGAAGGTCTCAGTAATAAAATGTCTTTTTAAGAAATGTCTCTGACTATAATGGGAGTTGTTCTCTTTTTTTTACATCTGACACCCTGAGCTTACTCAGTTGGCACTGACAGCCTCATGTGTCTCGTGGTCGCTGCTATAGTCTGACTTGGGCTCATCCTCAAAGTCCTCATACATGTCCATGTCATTGTCTCCATTATTGGGGTCGCTGGGCAGATCCAAGGCTCCGATCACACTGCCATTGCTGCCTCCTCCACTGCCAGGCTCAGACTTTACACCGTACGTGCTCTGAATGACGGGGATGGCAGGATCAGGACTGGCCGAGTTGCTGGAGCAGTCTGAGGTCAGATGTGGGGATGGTGTAGCTGCTGTTGCCATACTTATGGCACCCGGGTAAACTCCTACACTTCCAGGACTGTTGCCCAGAGAAATGGGTGGCTGAGGCCTGAGTATGAAGGAAAGAAGATAAGGAAGAATTATATTATTTAAAAGCTTTGCAACTTTTACAGTGTGATTTAAGTCTAGCAGCAATGCTGGAAGCAGTCGAAAGGTGCACAAGGAGATGACCTTGAAGGGGAGATTAGTTCAATTAAAAAAAATGTATTTATTCATTTAAGTCTCAGCAAGCATGATCCAAAAATTACAACGTTGAAGAATGTTAGAAATGATTGTCACTTCATAATGAATGATTGGTCCTTTAAAGTTAAAGAAAAGACACTACGTCCCCGAGCCGCTGAACATCACAAGAAGGACTACTTGTAAACTTCTAGCTGACTGATAGAGATCCATTTGTATTCTGCTGGGAGGTCAAATATGGCAATGAATCCTTAAACCAATAAAAACTGACCTAACTCAGTGTTCAGAACAAAAACTTAGGAAAGAACCAGCTTTTAAAAAAACACACAATTTGTTAGAATGGCATAAAATAGTATTTTTGTACCAATAAGGTGATTCCCAAAGTAACGATATACTCCACAGTATGCTGTGTGCTCTTTAAAAATAAAATGGACAAGTGGAGAACAAAAACAGGCAGCAGATGGGCAGTATCTGCAAGTCTGAAAGATTTAAGAAATGGGGAAAAAAATCAGCCAAAGACCTGACACAGAACTTGGGAGATGTATCTGTTAAGCATTTTAGACAAAGGCTCATCTGTATGCATGCATGTTTGCTCATACGAATATATTTCTGAATCTATTTCTCCATTTTCCCTGCAAAGTATAAAGAAACGGAATGGCTCAAGACCTTTGCACAGTTGTGTTTTGGTACAAGCTAGACAGATCAGACACTGATTCGTTAGCCTTTGAACAACATCTGTGAACAAAACATTTATTCTTAATCCATTTAAGTTCAACCACAACGCTTTTCATCTGGCTGAGCATGTCCTAACATAGAGCTCTACCTGCCATATCACAGCAGCATTAGCATTGTAGATGGAATGGGGGTAAATGCACATCATTCAAACAGGCCCCTCAGGCTCCTCAAATGAACCGCATAAAGTGGGAAAATTACTGTCACCTTTTTCACCTAACAGTTTTCTCTCCTCTGTCTCCTGAAACAATTACTGCCGTGTGCTCTGACAGACTCATTTTCACATTAAGCATTTTAAAATAACACTGGTTTAGCAATCTGGAATGTGCCAGAAACTAGTTGTGTACTGGCTCCTGTAGATGTTTGATTTAGCAACAATTGAAAACCCAGGCCTGGAGAATCTAAGCTTTCCTGCTTAGCGTACTTGACCACACACAGTAAATGTGGCATTCATCCTGTGACGTGTGCCTTGCGCTCATTCCCTCTCGAGCATGTGCTTACATTTCATATTCCACTGTGTCTGTCTGTGTCCAATTTCATTGCCCGCAAGCGCCCAGCATTGTCCTAATTTAATAAATGACAAGCTATTAAAAATCGCTCCTATTCAAAGCTGTGGCCTCTGGTAAATCCATCTCACTCATAGGCCACTGTGATGGCTTTAAACACATCCATGACTGGTTCCCATTAAGACAATGCCACTGTTTTTCCCCTTGCTGCACCGACTGCAGTTGAAAAAAAAATATATCAAGCTCTTCAGCAAATGTTTAAGAGCTTTAGCAGATAGAACCACAAGAGGTTCCCAACCTTTCATAAAGGGCCCATAAACCTTGATGATCACTCCAATAACGTTAAACAAATGGACGCGGCTAAGAATTCTTTTCTATTCAAACTGAGACATATTAAGGAGGGAAAAAAGACCTCTCGTGAAATGCAAAGTTGGTTTTAATATATTTCTATACAATCAAATAAACTCAAAGAAGATAGATAAAATTACAAAATGATAAAAAAAAATAATTTCCTTTTTACTTGGACATATTTGGGGAGAGATGTCTGCTGGATTGAGAGACGACTTTATCGAAGGCCACAGGTCCATTGTAAATTACTCAAATCCATCTAGAGTTAGACACAAAGACTGTCTGTTATCCAAGGCTTAATATCGTCAATGGCTTGTGGTTCTTGATGCAAATGGACCTCTTTAAAGTTTTAATCTCTCAGTTTTAATCAGTCATAATATACACTCTAATGAAGATGTAACAGTGTGAAATAACCCTGCAACCATGCCAGCATTCCTGTCCAAATAATGGCCCAGTATTAGGTCACGAGGTCAAGCTAAATAGTGACATGACATGGCTTAACCTATTTGGGATTATAGGACTGAAGAAGTACCACCGACAAAGTCCACAGGGCTTCAAACAACGATCAGTCTATGAGAAACACCACCATGTTAAATTATGTGGTTTAACTTTAGTTTACAGGGCAATTTTCTTCAAATAAGCATCGAATCACACTGTTATAAAGAAAAGTTATGTCAAATTATACTATCACTGTTATAAAATCTAAGTTCAACATAATTTGGTATAATGCTGTCTAATATATTTTGGATCAAATGACACTAATTGCATTTCCTAGTCAAGCCATAATTCACACATTGTTTAATTAGAGTACGAGTGCATTTGTGTGCTGTTTTATTAAATGTCTCTCAAAATATGGTTTGTTACATCTTACTAGTGCTCCATAAAATAAAGTGTGACCCACACAGCTCTCCTCTGAGCAGCACTGAATGCTGCATGACCCTGAGGGTGCCAACAATGCCAGAACCTTTTCACCACCTCGATTCATACCAGTCACTCAGAAAGAAGAAAATCTCTTCAGTGAGAGAAGGTTTACTTTTGACATGTTTAAGTATTTCTGGAATTTAAATCACAATTACACAGTACTGCCATCTGAAGGTCCTTCCATGAAAAAAAAACGAATTTGAAATTCAGTTCTAAAACCACGTAACTCGCCGACACGCTGCAGCTTTCCTTCAAACTCGTGCGATCACTCACTTTTTCAGCTTTGTACTCACCCCACAAAGAACTGCCTCATTTCCTGACGTCGTGAACGCATCATCTGCTTGTACTCCCCGATGCGTAGCTTCTTGCCATCAATGATGCAGGTTCTCTTGGGCCGTGGCTTGTACTTGTAGTTGGGATATTTCTCCAAGTGGATCTTGCTTAAGCGGGCCTGCTCCTCGTAATATGGCTGCTTTTCCTGGTTTGTCATGGCTTTCCAGCGAGAGCCTAGAGCAAAAAAAATTTAAAAAGCAATTGACACTTTAACTTAGGTTATATTTAAATATTTTAGTGTTACTAGTTAAGAGGGTGACTGAATTTAAATATCTGCACATTACCAAATTTTAGTGAGTGACTAACATGGTTTCAGTGAGTTTTTTCAAAATAGTTTCAGTGTGTGGTGAATCAAAGCTTTTCATAAAATTCCTGCAAAGCAAACATACTGTCACAGCTACATTATTCAGTCACACAAAAGAAGCACCGCTTTGACAATTCTGGTTTCTTCCCGAGGTTGGATGCCTTCCTGTGAGCAGGCTCCATTGAGTGTTTAGCCTAGAAGGCTGTTTAAAACCAGGAGTGGATTACACTCTGCTTCGCTCAGGAAGAATGATACATTGTGTATGGCTTGTTTTCCTCGGTAAGAGGACCTTCTGAGCAAGTGAACAGAGCCATTACTGCGGGAACGCAGCACATCTGTGAAGCACTTTGACAGCTGATTATACACACTCTTCCTTGCTCTTCTGTTTATCAAGGTTTATCACAAACTCTTCTTGTACTTTTGTGACACAGGAAACACAGAAACGTTTTTCTTTCTTTTTTTTAAACTTGCCACCCACCTACTCCCTTAAGTCCAGCTGTGTTATTATTTTAGAGATGGATGCATTGTATACATACTGTCATATACACACTCATAATTCCACTTTTCCTTCTCGTCTTGTCACTGAACCCTAATAAAAATCCAGCAGGAGCGCGCGATTAGGCAATGTACTTAATCAAATGATTTCCCCTGTAATATGTTTCCACTGTAATAACAAAAACAAAGAAAAAAAAAGCACTTTTGAAAGCACAAAGATTAATCATCTAAATTCAGGATGCATGTTAAGAGCACAAAACATCCATTTATAGGACCCCTTTCAGAGACCTGAGTCAATAACACAGATCCACCTTAGAAAAAGCAATTCATTCACAATTCTCAGAAGTAGCATTTACGGCATTCAGCAAGCCTCAAGCTCACTTGAACTCTGCATTGTACGGTAGAAGTCTTAAGAACATTTCAGGAACAACCGTTATGCTCAGCATCATGTGAATGGATATCTGTGTTGAGGAGGTATTTTAACTGAATGCATCCATCACACTAGTCAGGCTGACACAGTGGAGCTCTGTGTGTGGAGTGTTCCAGGCTGAAAAACACACTAGTCATTCTTACAGTACCCACTTGACGGTAAGAAACCCTGTGAACTGCATATAGCGGTAGGGTAACCTAATGAGCAGACAAGCTGACCTTAAACAAATCTGCCGTGTCACTTTACAGTCACTTAGAAAAAGAAAATAAAAAATTAAAGCAAACACTGGCGTATTCTTTTGTACAAAATTTAAAGGAAAGCAAAAGTACTTCGCCCTTACAACACCAGAACAACATATCGCCACAACATTGAGGTTTAGCTTTCTCACTCATCAAACATAAACCCGCAAAATCTCACCAAGGATCTTGCTGATGTTGGAGTTGTGCATGTCGGGGAAGGTCTGCAGGATCTTCCTCCTCTCATCTTTGGCCCACACCATGAAGGCGTTCATGGGCCTCTTAATGTGGGGCTCGCTGTTGTTCCTGCCTCGTGCCTCTCTGAACACCCGTGCCTCTGCGATGTTACTCCCTAAAAAAAAAAAAGAGATCACTTTTGCTGTATGTTCACCATTAACGAGTTAGCATTAAGCGTAGCAAAGGTTTGGTGGAGTATTGCGGGCATAATGTCCTTCATATCATTCCTACACACAAACACACGTGAACTTTGCACATTATGCTTAGTTTGCTTCCACGTGATATTATCTCAGTGCTTAAGCTCCTGTGTTTACTCCTCTGACTCTAAACTAAACCACGATGAGCACTCCTTGGTGCCTGTAAACAGAATTGCTTTATGAGAAACAGGTGGGCTTGAAAAAAATCGGAAAGACAACATTACAAGGAAGTACTTTAAAAGAGCGCGTTTAATGACTACATTTAATTCATAGTACGTAAAAATCAGCTCTTGTGACCGATTCATAATTATCTCTGTGACCATTCGCTACAGAAAACTTACTGCCCATTTTTGGTTTGCATACTAGGACCGGGTCACAAAAACTAGTGAAAAACATGAAGACAATTCATCCTCTTTTCCTACACTTGCAGTAATATTGACATTTGACATTTTCAAGTGAGCAGAATGTTCACCGTAGTGTCCTGACGTCCAAGATAAATATTTGTATTTTCTGAATACCTGCATTTGTGAGCTTTCTGGTAGATGACTTATTGAGTATTAGTCTTAGTAGGAAGGCCCACAGAGGCCTCTTCTAAATTTAACCATGTGAGTTACTGTCACTGGTATCAGTTTTATCTGAACAGGATGTGACTCGCACTCTATTTCTGAAAAAAAAACAACAAAAAAAACCATGCCATTTTGCATGCCAGTAGTCAGAAATGTAGGTAAAAGAGTAGCAACGGGGTAAGAGACAGAGGAACATACCATCTAAATCTTCTGGTCTTGTCAGGTCAATGACTCGATGAACCATCTTCCCAGCATCCTCTCCGAGCTTCCCCAGGTGTTGGCTCAGTGTCTCATAGTGCAGCCGCTCCTACAGTAGAAAAAAAATGCAGAACTGCTGAAGTCTGAGGAATACTTTAAAAGCTGCAATTCTTTACTCTGCATTCAGTTATTATTATTTAACCCAGGGGTCGGCAACCCTAGGCACGCATGCCAGGGTTAACTGATGGCACGACCATAGCTGGACGGGCCATCGGGCATACTGAGCATTTGCTCGGTGGGCTGGTGGTGATTTTTCGTTTTTATGGGCCGATGATTTTTTGTTGTTGTTGTTGTTTTTTTGTAAAGGTATAAACAATGAAAGGTGGTGAATTGGCCAAATGCTGGTCGGTGTGTAAAAATAACTCAGTTATTTGGTGGTGGCTGTGGCGGAGCTTCCACAGATTCAGTAACATTAGCAAGTGGTGGAGGCCAGCAGGTGGATGAGAGAAAGGGGAGGCAGGAGGAGAGCCCCGAGGCAGCCGCCGAGTGTCAGGTGAACTGAACTTCAGGTAAGAAGTTATGACCTGCTGTCTGTCTGGGTCAGATATAAACCAAGTTTAGGTGGAGTTTATTTTCGTTGTGCTGACTTTTTACCCTCAGTTACAATAACTCATACTAGCTAGCATGACGGAGTTTATATACTGCTGGGTGGGTGCTTTGATGTTATTGATAGTGAACTTTATTTTATTCATAAGGTTAGTTAGTAGAGTTGCCAACCGTCCCCTAAAAAGAAGGAATCGTCTCGTATTCAGAGAAAATTTTACGCGTTTCGTGTTGAGGTGAAAAGGGACAGTTTGTCCTGGACTTCAGCTAGAATGGAAAGAGACACAAAGCTCATCAGAGCTGAACAGGTGATGGAGAAACAGGTTTACCTTTTAGGTGACATGAATGAGTTGAAGGGAAGTTATGAACTGTTTCTGAGATACAAATAACACCAGGATCCTTTTTTATGTAGCTGACAGCTGGTAACTGTGCAGGGGCGGGTCTAGCAAAGTTTTGCCAGGGGTCCAGGTAGGGCATTAACAGGGAAAGGGGGGCACAAAGAAATACTTTCTTATTTTCATTTAAAATGTCTAGCTTTTATTAAATAATTATCTGAAGCTTACAACCAAAGTTTTTATCTGACGTACAATGTATAAAAATCATACATATACCGACAAGACTGTACATCACTGTCACAACAGCATTTGTTTTCATTCAAAGGCTTTATGGCTTTAATACCTGGTGGGCCGGTCTCTAGTCAAAATGCCTGGGCCGATTTTTTGTCCCAGTCCAGCCCTGGGCACGACAATCTGAGAAGGTGCATTAAAAAATACATGGCCGCGCCAGCAGTACACATTGCAAATTAGTTCACATAGACACATTAGTTGTGCCTCTTCTTAATGACGGTATCTTAGCTAACAACCCCAACTACCAGATTCAACTTGTAATTGGCTAAAAATCACTTCGCCTATCGGTGAGAAGGACGTTGTTAGCTTTCTACATTCCGACACTTCAGAAGCTTCAGGAGCTTTCCGCTCAGCACAGCATCAGCACCACAGAAATACACGGATACATCTGTAGACTCGAGACAGAATTCACAATGCGTTTTCAGGACTTTCAGGTGTATGGACCAATGTTTCTTTTCTGATCAAACCAGAAAGCTTTAATAAGCAGCTAGATTTGTCTTGCATTAACTGGCCGTGTTAATGCCAGTTAATGCAACATTGAAGCAGCTGGAATCCACAGCTGTGCGTGTTCATGGAGCTTGCATTTTCACCTGCTGGACATCACTACCTGACAAGTTTAACTGTCTTCAGAACATTGCAGAGTCCTTATTGACAGTATTTGGCTCTACAAATCTGTGTGAGCAGATTTTCTCTCACATGAGTGTCCTCAGGTAGCCGTCTGAATGCTGGACACTCGGAGACCTGTGTCTCTGAGTGGGAGACCAGAGATCAGATTAACATGTGTGTTATCAAACATGCCATATTGGCCCAGTTTATTTTTCTTATCATTGTTGTGAGGACACCATAAATAGCATTTGCATTTTCTGTTGTACAGTTCATTTGCTGTTATGGAGTACTTGTTATGGATAAAAAGTGTCTTATTTTTTGTTTGTTTCAAAACAGCTGATAACTATTCGCTGATAGCTGCCAACATCTGTGAACAAATATAATTCTATAAAGTGGTTCTATATAGTGTGTAACTGTTAATATAGAGCGTTATTAAATTTATTGCTAATGCAGCCATATGGCACACTGACCTCTGAGGAAATTTTAGATGGCACTCGTCATCAGAAAGGTTGCCGACCCCTGATTTAACCACTAGATCAAGTTTCCTGCCATCTTTTGAATTGGGCAGCCATCGATGGCTTTGATGGTAATGACAGTAAAATTAATTGCTGGGTTCAGCTAGCATAAAGGAAACGTCCAGCACTTTTAGCTTTACTTTTTTTAATGGAACCTGAACGAAATAAGTGATGATGAGGTTTAATTCAGAACACCTCGAAGGCTGCACTTATCCTCAGTGACTTGCCCACCTTCCGTTATCATACGCTCCTCATCTGTCACCACCTCTAAGACAAAAAACTCCTACTAGCAGCTTGCCTTGGAGTCTTACAGCTAAAATTACCCCACCACGCTCTCAAACTGCAGTGGAAAACATGGTACGCTCCGCACAGCTACCATACAACTCCTCCTCTTCTCCTCCTTCCCTCCCTCCCTTCCTCCCTCTCAGTTCTCCTCCTTTTTCTGGTGACAGAGGCATTTTGTTTGACGCAAGGAATGGTTGCTGGGTGAAGTCATGCCGCGGTAGCCGCTGGCAGCAGTGGTGGAACTTAGGGGCCGCGTGTATGTGTGCGTGTGCATGTGTGTGTGTGTTTATAGACAAGAGTCAGTGCGGGCCAATGTCAGCACTACAGCAGGGCTGTAATCAGGCCTACCACAGAACATGTGCCTGGGCAGTGCCATGCTCACCGCAGGAAGCAACCGCCTAACAAAGGACTAAAGAAAAGAAAGAAGGAGGGAAGGACGGAGATAGAGAGAGAGTCAGAGAAAAATAGAAAGGAGGAGATGGAAAACGAGTGTAGAGACAAGAATAAGATCTCAAGTCCCCTGAGAGCCATCCTGTGAGCCCAAAAGTCAAAATGAGTCACAGTTTGACTTTCTGTTATTTGAAGGCCAATGTCCTACAGTACATAATTCCTCTGCAATCGAAGTGAAGATGTTTGAAATGTTCCCGGTGATTAGATGAGACCAAATGGAAAAGTAATAGAGAATAGAGTTGGGGATTTGGAAAATGGAGTGGGACAGCATCAATAGAGGCAGAATGATCCAAACTACAGATTAACAGCAGATCTGGGTCACAATTTGCAAATATTCCCTGTGGTTGGTCTACTTTTGGTCTTCTTAAAAGTTCTTGTGGCAAATGCAATAAGGAGCTGTCTTTCCTTTGTTTAGTCAAGATTGAAATAGGTTTGGCCTGTGTGCCTGCTGGTTTCAAACTGGACTGCTGCCTTTTGGAGCAATATTACAGACTTTCTTTCCCCCTCTCTTTAATTGGACTCCATTTGTACTTTGTAGAATTAAACTGGAAAAAAAATAGCAGAAAATAGGCAACAATCACTTTTAAACATTAAAGCTGTGCAAACAACTACCTTAAAAACAAATCACATTAGTGCTGCCACAGTACTTTTAACGCACGTTTGCTTTTGCTGGTCTCTCAAAGTGTTGCTGCTGGATGTATGCTTCTAAATTTAAGAGACACCCGACTCTTTTTGTTCTGCTTGGTCTGTTCTCTTCTTGGCATCCGACTCCTCGCGTCCCTTCACTGTTGCTAAGGTAACACTCCAAACATTTTATTTTTTAATCCATACCGTATTGAGCTCATTACCACAGTTACAACTCGCCTGCTGCCAGGATGGCCTGCCTCCAGCTGACCCGCAACCGTTTACTGTCTCCTCCCGGACCAATCAAGTTTGGCAAACTCCTCAGTAACCCTCCCCACCGCCCACCAACCCCCCTCCTGGGGTTTCCTCTCTACTCCAATTTTCTTCATCTTTCTTTCTCTCTTTCCTTCTCCATGCCGATAGAGCTGTCAGTCAGCCCCCTGTTCTGTTTTTTTCAACCATGCCTCCTATTCATAGCCCTTAACACCCCTCCGCCAGACCTCTACAACTTGAGCCTTCAACCCCCAAAAGAAGTAGACACTCAGCTTTATAGTATTTATTATAATGTATATCACTCAGACTATAATTGCACCAAGATTATGTCGACGTTTAATCAAAACTTGGAACCATCTAAGCTTCTGGTTTCACAGGCTCACTTCCTTCAAAGACCAAACTAACCAACAGTGGAGCCAATATAAACTTCTATACAACCATTTCTCTCCTCTCTTTCTCTTTCTTCCAGACTTATTCAATGACAGAAAGCATGCTGACCAACTTTAACTTTGTGTAGACAAAGGGTATTCTTCTATAATGGGATACTGTTAAATTATAGTCTCCAAAATTTAGATTTCTGGTCCATTTCAAAGCTGTATAAATGCTATGTGAAAGTGTCCAAACCTACGAGGAATGTGTGCAATAAGTTAAAGGGTTCTGAATCATTTGTAGAAAAATATGCATAAAGAGTGTATGATTGATATAAAGTATTTTCAAATTAGCATGCTAGAAATGAATGAAACTCAGTTTGACTGATGTTGTTTTTGTTCACTGAAATGTGTGTATATTTATTTTTGAGTACTGGATATTCTAGATTGTCCAGTCTCCAAGCCCACCTTTGCATAACTGCTCAAAGATCATCTTACAGCATATGACTCTGTTGGAGTACAGCACAGACTGATGCCCCTTAGCCCATCAGCCAATGTAGCAGTTAAATTATACTAGCACCAGAGACACTAGAAGAGTTCATGTGTCCACATTATTTACATCATTATCTCTCCACAGCATCATCCAAACAGAGTAAAAAGGCTATTTGTGCTTCTTCTAATGTGACCTGTACATTTACCATTTCCTTCACCTCCATTGGAAACTTAGAAAAGTATCTGCTCAGAATTCAGTGTGTTTTTTGTACTTTGTATCTTGTGAACGTTACTCTGGGGTTTTTTTAAGCCAACTGAGCAATACTGTAACTAATGTAACTGTGTAGAGCTTATACATGTTTTCCTACATATTGCAAAGAGACAGATACATGATTTGGGGGTTCATCATGTAATATGTAGGCTAAATAATTATAGTATAGTAATTATAGTAATAATAATTACTGTTTTTCTTAATGGCATGTTTTGTGCCTACTCTGATGAAAAGAAAAGATATATATACACACACACACATATATATATATATATATCTCACACACACACACACAAACACACGCACACACACACATGGTTATACACAGTGGCTATTTCAGTGAGCTCTGGCAGCCGCAGGCCAGCTGGAAGCAACGTAAGCGTAAGGTGATACTCAACAATGCCACTAACTGGCCAGGCCTCTCGTCTGTACACCAGCTATAATGACATTAACATGGCCAAGGCCAGTGCAGAGCCAGGACACGCATGCACGCACGCACACACACGCACACACACAAAAAGGAGTCTAGGATCGCTTTCAGCTCATAGCGAAATGTCTGTGTCGCTTATGTTTGAAACGAATACTGTGGGACAAAAATACACAAACAAAAAGTGAAATACAGACACAACACACACACTTAGACGTCACCACGACTCCCTTTTGAGTGGAATCAGTGCGGGCAATAAATAGCTCAACATTCAACATTACACTGAGATACCATTCACAGCACATGCCTCATTCCCTCCAAGGAAGCTGAATATGTTGTGTTAGTACAGTGTCATAAAACAAAAAAGATTTGGGAAGCGCTTCAAAGTTTCGAAGGGGAGGATTTGAGTAACAAATTTATCCATTGAACTGAAAACTACCAACAAATCCAAGGTAAAGAAAAAGAGCTGGTCTCGCTGCCTCCTGAGGTGGAACGGTTGAGTCACACTTTCAGTATCCAGCAAGTTCCATCCATGAATTGTTTAAGACAGAGCAAAGCTTTTGAGCACTTCAGGAGAAAAAAAAGCACACACACAGACGAAAAAAATGTTACGTCCCAATGAAAAAAATGATGCATTCAAAGCAAAGAGAAAGAGTCTTTGAGCTCCTGTTGTTAGGTAACGAATAACAAACTGACAACAAACAGCGAGGCTTGCTGTCGTCCTCGAACCGGAAACAATTACTTTGAGAGTTTCCAAGTGAGCTTTTTATTAGGAGTCATGCAGCTATAAACCAAATTACTGCATTGCTTTGGTTTTGTTCTTCTACAGTTGGAAAATATAGAGCTTTAGAAACACGGAGGGTTCTCCTTGCAGCGCACTCACCTCAATCTGTTGAGCGTTTCAAAGTGAAATTTGTGCAAAAACAAAAAAGTTAAAAGCATAAACTTATTTCAGAACACTGGTGGTTTATTTCACTGGACCTGCAGCAGGCAACTCATATTAAATCTTAATAAACAATTTATCAGTATAGGCTGTTGTCTAATTTATATTTATGAGTTTCTCAGTGTTTACTAGTATAATGACTTATAAAAAAAAACAACTTGGGACTGAGGATAAGTAAAGCAGAGATATATTTTGCCAGATTTTGAATGTTTTCTTCCTGAAGATGCAAGGCAAACAAGTCCAAAAAGAAAAAAAAGAATCAAAACAACCTATCCTTGGAGTGCACCAATCATGACCTACTTGGGGTTGGTGGGTTCAAAGTCTCCCCCCCTAAAATATTAATGAGTTCTGCTCCTCCTCGTTCTCCTTGTAAGCAACATGGGATCAATTGCACAGCAGAATTGGTCTAATCATGTTCCGTATTTTACTTAATGTTTGATCCTCAGAATTTATGATTGGTTGATCAGACCGATTGAAGATGTTTTGGAATATGAATTTCCCCCTGGATCTTGGTACAAAGGCCCTGTCTCCTTTCGCCCAAGGGAAAGAGATGAGCTGGGCAAGAGGTGAGTGTGGACAGGGGAATTCCCTGAGAAAGGGCCTGTAATTGGGCTAAAACCCTGAGGCCGGGATCGCCCCTCCAGGGCAAGTGGAGAGCTGAACTCCATTAAACACACATATACACGCACGCATGAACGCACACACTTACACATACACACTAATCACCTCTTCTCTTAAAAAAAACACCCACTCAGTCAAGGCAGGCACACTAACACGCCAAAACCATCACTTGTCATTGGCCCAGCTGCTCCCTCTTCAAAGCTGTTGGCTTCTGGGTGGCCGTGGAGATGAGAGGAGAGAAAAGAAGTTCTCAAGAGCTGCAGCCCGAGCCAAATGACACCAAATATCATCCATGAATATTCTTCAGACTCATGTACGAGCTGAGAAGAAACCTTGAACTCTGAGCCAATGAAATAGTAGAGAAAATGTGACACAGGAGCAAAGAGTTTGTAGACCCACAGAGGTGTGAGTCTCTGTTTTCAAGTTTGTGTTAAGGAGCAGAAGAGAATACTTAATGGATCCTAATAGCTAGTAGGAAGCAATAAAAAAAAATTATTGTCCAGTTCCCTCTCTCCTTACCACCTTGTCCTTCAGGCTGTTGCTGGCAGTTTATGAAGACAGGTTCACATCTTTTAGTGAATGAAAAAATACAACAAATTTAAAAGTTTGTCTGTTCGTGTTGCACCATGAGTGATGTTATGTGCATTGTTAGTAATCTCCATTGGCGGCAAGGTATCAGTATGTTGTTCACGTGTTCTGCATAGTTAGCAAACAGTATTTGACCTCAGAGTCAATGTTCTAGGAAAATAACTCCTAGATTCTTCCAATATGATTTAACAAGACTACTAAGCTTTAATTCTATTTGAACATAAATTAACTGACAAATTGCCTTTTTCTAATCATTTTTAAATTTTAGTTTATGATGTTGTAGAGTTTTTGAGTCCTATTTTAATTCTACGCCAATGTATTCCTAGGGCTGGTCCTAAGCCCGGATACATGGTGAGGGTTGTGTCAGGCAGGAGATCCGGCGTAAAATCTTTGCCAAATCAAACATGCAGATGATTATGAATGAGATTTCCATACTGGATCAGTCAGGGCCTGGTTAACAACAAGCGCCTGAAGTGCTGGTCGCCAACACGGTGCCAGAGGAAACTGCTACTGCTGGCCCAAGACAAAGAAAGAGGAAAGGGGGAAGGCAGTGAGAGACAAGGAAAAGCAGGAGGTGTAAGGATAGCTGGCAGTGGATTTAACCAATGGAATGGAAGTGGCTCTGGTGAACATGTATATCGAGAAGAGGGCAGAGCATTACAAGAGTGGAGGAATGTGCACACAGGTGGGACAACATGCTATGCAGAAGAGATGCAAGAGATAGCAGAATGCAATGTGTTGGCAGGGTAGAATGTAGCTAGACACATTTGGATGGTAGTTTGCAGGATTACTTTGGAAATCAAGAAATGGAAGGAATTTTTAACCAGACTGCTCAACACAATCTTTTAAATATACTTATTTGGAACCAGCTTAACACAATCTTGAAGAGTCAGAAGATGCCTTGGAAATAGAGAAGAAGTGTACTTGACAGATGATGTAAGGGGTGGAAGGGTGGAATATGATGTTTGCAGATGATAGTGAGAATAGGGAGCAGGTGGAAGAGCCTTAGAAGAGGAGAGGACTGAAAGTCATTCGAAGCGAAACAGAATATATTAATGAATGAAATGGAGAAACATAAAGTGATAAGGTGATTATGCAAGGAGTGCAGATACCTGATACCTGAGGTCAACCACCCAGGCAGGGTGGAGTGGGCGGAGACGACTGTCAGGGGTGATTTGTGAAAGAAGGATAGCAGCAAGAGTGACAAGTAAGATTTAAAAGATGGTAGTGAGGCCTGCTATGATGTACGATTTGGAGACAGTGGCACTGACAAAAAGCCACGAGGCCGAGCAGGAGGCTTAAGATCCTAAGATTTTCACTGGGACTGAACAGGATGGAAAGGATTTAGAAATTAGTAAATCAGAGGGACAACTCAGGTCGGAAGAAAGTTAGAGAGGCAAGGCTGAGATTGTTTCAACATGTGTAGACGAGGGATCGTGCTGGACAAAGGATGTTGAATATGGAGCGGTCATACAGGAGGAAAGAGGAAGACCACAGAGAAGATTCATGAATTCATGAAGGAGGTTATGAGAGTTGGTGTGACAGAAGAGGATGTCAAAGAGATGGAGTCCCATCTTCCTCTTTGTCCCTGCTAAATCATTTGTTGATGCTTGTAGTTATGCTGCTTGTGGTTTGTGTACGGTCCTTGTTTCCAGTTTGTTTGTACTCTGGATTCCTATTTTGTTTATTTCATTTATTGCATTAGCCAAAGACCGCTTTGTTTTTTTTTGGTTTTTTTATATATATTTGTGTTGAATTAACAGTGCTGATTTTATAACCTCAAAATCTGAAAAGGTATGACTGGAATTGTAGCCAAAAGTATTGAGTATTGAAAAAGAACTGAAAAGTTTATTTAGTTATTTAGCAAATCTTTATGCTATTTATTTGACAGTATTTTAGGACCAGAGCCAAAATTCCTTTTTTAGAAGAAAAGTAATTGCTATGAAACTGCATTCAGTTCATGTAACTCTTTCAGACCTTATCAGTAAAACGTGTGTGTGCATCCTATTATGCATCCAGATGTGACCTGCATGTCCTTCTAACCTTGTTGCCATTGTTGAGGTTCATGCTGCTGAGGGCAGATAGCTTTGCTTCCAGACTCTGGTGTCCTGGCTGCTGCTGCTGTTGGTGGAGCTGCTCCCTCTGGATCTGCTCCCTCATGCTCCTGGCCTCTTGGATGGCCTTCATCACTGCATCCTGGTCCCCAAACAGTGCTGTGGAGTTGAGACTGGACAATATGTCTGCAGGTGGAGAACAGACGAGAGACAGTCGTATGTCACTTAGACTGGCAATACAGCATCGGGGACATGTTCGGGTAGCATAAAAATGAATTGCACACATTTAATACTCTTCTGGCTCTGATGTGAATAACCACTGAAAAGAAAAGGTTATGTCCTTTTTTGCCACTTTGTGTAGGGAAAGGGATTTGCAATCAAGCATACATAAATAAACAGATAACTTTTATGAATATAACATACGTACAAATGTACTGGCCTACCTACAAATTGCCAACAAGAGCTGCTCAGTCATGGAAATCCATGCCGTGAAGTTCCCAGCTCACAGACTTTGTGCTGACGTTAATGTCAGAGGAGGTTTGGAGCTCTGCAGTTATTGAACAGGGACGCAAAAACCCAGATCTGTAATTTTACGTGGTCTGCCACTTCGTGGCTGAGTTACTGTGGTTCCTAAACACTAGCACTTTGCAATCATACCACTTATAGTTGATTGTCGAGTATCTAGGACTTAGAAAAATTCACAAACTGGCTTGTTGCAATGGTGGCATCTTACACACATTACCACATGTGGCTAGGAGCTTGACTTTATACACCTGTGGAAATAGGACTGAAAAGACCTGAATTCAAAGATTAAGAGGTGTGACCCAAGACTTTTGTCCATATAGTGCGCTCATATTTGATCCGTGCTATTACCCAGTGCTACAAATTTCTATTTGAACAAACCAGACTCTTTAGAACTCAGTTTAGTGCTTTTACTTTACTTCGTAAGATTCTACTGATACTAGAATAGAAAGTGTAAGTCCTTATAGTCAAACGTTCAGAAAGGCTGAATACAAATTCCCATTAAATAACATTTCAACTGTATAAACATGAGATTTCCAATCTTATATCAGCTCCAAATGTTGTTTAAGTTTTGTTCCAGGCCATTTGTGTCAAAACATGACTGAGCCTCCTCCCCCTTGTTTAAGCACCACGCTTCACACTTTTGAAGCCGATGCACATTTGAAGAATAAGAGGAAATAAATAAATAAAAGGATGCAAAGTTTCCGTCGCCCTCCTCATTTAATTAGCAGACAAGTAGGAAGCACTGTATGCTTGGGTGGCCGTTAAAATGGGCAAAAAATAACTTTGCAGGAACACAAGTGTCGCGTCCTCAAAGCCACTCCAGACAAGCTGGTGAAATTGTTTTCTGGGGGATATAATGAGAGGCTTTAGATTGGCCTTAATAACAGATAGCAGAGGTAGGGGCATAAAAGGTCTAGCGCGGGCAGACAATGATGTGAGGAAGCTCTTAAAAACCAAATAACGTGTGCTGGGTTTCACTGCTTCCGCTGCCAGGGTTTTCATTGGGGCTAAATACAGGGCTTTGGACTCCTGTAAAATACAAACACACACACAAAACACACACATACACAGGTCTCCTCATGGGGTTTAGGTGTCTGCAGCCTATCAGGCACATGCGACGCTTCTTGGTTTGTCTGTGGGTGGCTGTGGGAGTGGGAGGTGTTTGGGTGGGTGATGTTTTTGTTTTTCCGGCTAAGTTGAAGGCAAGGTTTTTTTTTTTTTTGCTCAACGTGTTTGCTTTGGGCTGATGTACACTGCAGATGTGAGCGATACATTCGTGCACAAATGCATATTAGTGTTGGTTTGTGTGTGAAAGAGAATCCATGAGCAAAAGTACATCAGTGTTTCGCCTCAGTGTTTTTTCTTTGCAGCATTTACTCTGTGTCATTGTAATTGTAGATGAGTGTAAGGATAGTGTTATTGAATGTTAATGAAATGTAGCAGTGCTAGTAGACTGGGTGGCCCACCCCAGCTAGCCCGTGGTGTTGTTACCTACCCAGGGAGGTGTTCCGGCCCATGCTGGGAATTGGGCTGGGGATGCGGCCTTTGCCCATGCCTGTGGGGCTGGTCTTGTTTCCAGAGAACAGACTCTGTGTTGGGGATGTCGGGGAGCGAAGAGGTTCAGCTGTCTTGGGTCTAGCTGAGAGGTTCAGTGGCTGTGTGGATCCTTCCTCCTGTTAATGAAACAGGTGCAGCATCCATTTATACAAAGTCCTTTCAACAGGAGCTAAATTACTAAATTAGGGTTAATAAAAAGGCTGTAAAGTAAGCGTTACAAACTGATATAAAGCTGAGCTGATGTTCTGCAGTGTTACTTGAAGAGCCTTTGGTGATCCTTAAGTTTTTGGCCTTTAATAAATGAATTCGACCGATCAGCTCTTTAAGCCTCCTTACTGCATATAAACAATGGTACATTTGTTTGTGTGATTTCTTATTTCTGATCAGATCTTCATGACCACACTAATCCACATAAAGAATTCTTGGAAAAGGAAAAATAGTAGCATAAAGTAAACTTCAGCACGCCAGCACAGTCTGACTGCGGCTGTTTTGTTGGCAGAAAACATTTAATGAACGTGGCTCTAATTTGGAGTTGAGCCGCAGCTGAGGAAGTTTTGAGAAGGGAAGGAGCACAGAACGAGCTTTCGCGTGGGGAAAGGGGTAAGTTGAGATGCGGGTGGCGTGCTGAGGGTGGGATGAGTATGCGTGGGGTTTACTGTGGAGGATGAGGAGTTTGGAGGGCACGGCACTACTGTTTGAGTGCGGTGAGCTCCGACGCCGGTCTATTGTGACGCCGGTTGCAGCTGTGCCCCACACACACACATGGCTTCCATTACTGCCTCGTCACCAAGTAAAGATCAGGCGTACGCTGCCAAACAGCAGCCAGTGCCAGTGTCAGCTTGTGAGTGCACATGTGTTTGTGTGTGCATCAGCCTGTGACATTTAAATAAGCTGTTTCTAATTGACAGTGAAGAACACAGGGGCCAATGCACAGCTCATTGTTTCAACAAATTCCATATTTCCAGCTTTCACTTTTACTTTCAGTGACCATCAACATTATTATTACAACATTCGGAGCCCACTTTTTACTTCTTCTATTATGTTGTCTCTGAATTTATCACCATATTTCCCTGCACATACCCATAACATGAAAAGTCTAATTCACTATTGTAGCAAAAGTCAGCAAAGCCATTTACACATATTTAAATATAACATCATCAAGAGAACACACAAGAAGCTCTCGGTACATCTAGACCGGCTCTATTCTCTTGGCAGCGCGCACTCATTTAACAACATTTGAACAAAGTACCTACCTTAATCTGAGAGACAGGGCTGGATGCTCGCTTCTCGCTCTTGAGGGTGGAGGGAGAAAGAGGACTGGAGGAGTTGGGAGCTTGTGGGAGGGGAGCCATCTTGGCTCCTGGTGAGATCTGCATGCTTGCCAGCTGGGCGGCATACAGCTGCTGCAAAAAAAGGGAAGAAACCAGCAAAACCGACAGGCTATTAACATCGCGCGCCAGCAGCTAGTCAGTGGCTTTCCTCTTTCATTCTCTCTCCTCTTTTCTTTTTCATACACACACACGCGCGCACACACACACACACACCCTTGATCCTGTCAATTTTATTTATTTATTTATTTTGGTTTATCCTTTCCCTGGTACTGGCTGCATCCTTTGAGCCAAAGACACACTGTAGTTAGATGGAAACAGGCACACACACACACACACACACACACATCTACATCTGAAGTTGACAAGAGCATCCCACACAGATGTAAGATTTGTTTGAGGTATTATTTATCAAGGAGGGATTCCAGCAAATTATTTTTTTATGCTACATTATCTGCAGAACTTTTCTAACAGTTATTTTTTCAACAGATGCTTGGAGCAGCTTGCACATAGATCAGCATCTTTCAGCTTTTGAATAGGAAACAAATGGTACCTATTCTGAAGTTAGGTTTAATAGCCTTGCTTCAGTTTTACTTGTAATAAAAGGTTGGTATTGTTCTGATGTTTTAATGTTTAGTCTTGGCTTTCTTAGCAGAGGAATAACAAGTCAAATAATGTAAAATGAGATTAGGAATATTATATGAGGAACTGCTTCATGGGTCTCTAACTAATCTTGTCACCTCTGATTTGTTCTTGCATTAATGCTTCAGGCAATTTCTTTACTTACTTTAATCCAAAGCAAGACGACAGTGGCTAATCAGATTTAAGCAGGTGTTCATAGTTTACACCTTGGACCAGTGTTTCAATTGAAAAAATCCTTGAACATAGCAGAGAAATAAAAAAGAAAACCCTCAAAGTAAAAGCCTTTAGTGTTGGATGAAAACATTAAATGACAAAGGGGAAAAAAGGAGAACTGACTTTTCATCCAAGGTACTTAGCAAAAATCAAAGAGTCAAATACTCGGCCCACAGTCCAGGGTCTTCTAAATCAAAGCTAACTGGCCAGACAAACCACTGCCTGAAACCACTGTCAGCCCCTGTCTAAATGCATTGGAGTGTGAGTGCTGGAGTATCAAAGAGCCTGTCCTCAGGAAAACCACCCAGACGTGGCTGGCCTTCAGTAGATTCCCTCTTTTCTTTCTGACTTTTTTTCTCTTTTTTGCTTTCCTCTCATTTTTCATTACTCTCACCTCATCTGTACTCCTCCCTCCTTCTACAGTTCTGTCTTTATTTTGTCCCGCTTTCTTTTGATCTCCCTTTGACTCTCTTCACTTGTCTTCTGACTCTTAGTTTAGGTCCAGAAATCATTTCTCATATCTTTCCACCCCATCTCCAGCTCTGTTTTTTTTTCCCCTTTCTTTCTCTGTTTTTACCTTCTGCCCCCTCAGCCTAAATGACCCCCAGTGTTGTGAGATCTGATTTCCCTTCAGTCAAAACTGCAAAGCCTCCCGGGACCAGAGATCCAAAGTAAAGAAAGCACAATGGAGAAAGAGAGAGAAGGACAGAGTTTTGCAACGCAGACACACGAGACCACCGTCGCTTCACCGCCAAAGCGCCAGGCTCAGCAGTTGGGGCCAGAGAAATTGGCTGGCCCTCTCTCCACTTCTCTCAGAGCGATATTAAACACAAACAGAAGGGGCCTCGCCGCTGAAACAAAGCCCTGATGTCACGCCGCTTATTTTCCTTGGAAGGTACCGGGAGTGCTCGGTCCAACCCCTGGCGATATGAGATCCCTGTAAGAATGTGCCTTGAATGACTGGTGGTGAGGCCTCTCGCGTCAATCAAGCCGACCACAGAGTTACTTCTGGTGATGCCTGATATTCTTACAACTCTAAGGGGAGCAGGGGCTGGGGCAGACACATGAGTCCTTGAGGTAAAACACACAGTTAGGATCTCACACCCATGTCTGCACAAACACACACACACGCAGTGCTTTTTTCCCCCACAAACACACCCACAGCTTTTGTGCTGCGAGCAGCGATTCTGTCAACGGTTACAAATATGAGGAGGGAACTGTTGAACAAACAACAGACTGACAATAAGAGCTTTTACCTAATTTTTTTTCTCTGCTTCTTCAAGACACTCAGAGATTGATTGTGTACTGGGGAAACCAATCTGCAGCGTAAACAACACCAACCAGAGTTCCTGCCATTCAGCCAACTCCCGAGGGAAGACAATGCTGCAATTTCCTAAATTGCAAATTGACAAAGAGGGCCTCGAAGTGTGTCTCAGCTGTCCAGACTATTTGACTCTTTGGATATCAGTGCCCATTTGACTAAAATCCAAATCATTAGTCTGTCACTTTTCACACACGTGATTATTAGCATTTTTGCTTTCTCTTTTTTTGGAGGGGGGCTACATCACTGTAATTCTTTAGAAAACAAAGAGAAGGTGATGACGTTGTGGGTGTCTGCACCTCTGTTTGGACTATCAGATCGTAGTCCACCAGCAGCCTCCTCCATGCTCAGACTGCTCTGTCCCATTAGGGCTGAGTGGAGACTCCCTTCAGCTGGCCTCTTTTAGTGTCCAGCTGCTATTGATCTCAGGAGTGCAAAAAAACAAATGAGGTTTTGTCTTTTTTTCAGCAGGTTCGTTTGT